TTTGAGTTTGAGTAAGATGCTGTCCTTGGAAATTTCACTCTAAGCCACTAAGTTCTTAGTAGCTTTTCTCACTTCTAAGTAGTTGTGATTTGTGGTCTCTACATTGTAACTGCTTAGTATTGCTTTAAACAGTTTATTTTGGAACAATCCCAAATTTATAGACAAGTTGCGAGTACATTACAAAGAATATTTTTTTGAACCATTTATTTGAAAGCAAGTTGCTCACAGGATTTTTCATCACTCCCAGATACTTTAGTTTATTTGTATTTCCTACAAATGAAAAAGTTTTTTAAAATAGCCACATCACAACTGTCAAAATAGAAATCTAACAAATATATTACAGTCATCTACTCCTCAGACCCCATTCACATTTCGTTAGTTGTCCTAATTACCCCTTTACAGTGAAAGAATCCAGTCGGGAGTCACATTTAATATTGAATTGTCGTGCCTCTGTAGTGTCCTTCAATCTGGAACAGTTCCTCAGTCTTTCCTTAACTTTCATGACCCAAATGCTTTTGAAAATTACAAGCCAATTCCCTTGTAGAATGTTCCTTAGTTTTGATTGTCTGCTCTTCCTTCATGATTAGACTGTGTACCGTAGCGGGCCTGCTGCATAAGAGACGCCCAGTTCTCATTGCATCGTCTCGGGTGGTGCATGGTTGCCTTTTTTCCCCCATTCTTGATGATTAACACTTTAATCACATGATTAAGATATCTGTCAAGTTTCTCCACAGTAAAATTTCTTTTCCCTTTGTAATTAATATGTATTTTGTGGGGATGTACCTTGAGACCACATAAATATCTTATTTCTTGTTAGACTTTTATTCTTTTATTTATATCGGTGTAGACTCTTGTATTCAGTGAGTTTAATTCATTGTGTATTTTGATGCTTATGTCTCAGATTTGACCTGTGGGTGCCTCTTCTGTCTGTCTTCTGTGTCCTCTTGTCATGTCTCATTATTTTTGGGCACTTTCTCGCTTTCTGGCACATTGAGGCTCATCTTGTACTTTCTGAGCTCAGGAATCAGCCATGGTTCCTTTTAATGGAGAAGAGTACTTAGAAACCAGGATTTCTGTACTAGATATGATCAGTGCTATCAGAATGTCTCTGCAGACAGAGTCAGGGAAGCTACCTATTTATATCGAAATCCACAAGTTTTGATTGTAACCCCCAGTGCAGACCCACCACCCCGGGTTCATTCTAGTTTCTTCTTTCCATATTTGCAGCTCCCTTCTCTGAGAGTTAGATGCCTTGTTTCCATCATCATAGATGTATGTGTCTGGCCAGTCTCCCTGTGTGTGACCACCGCCCATTGCTGGTGCGGCCCCTTCACCCTCCTCCAGCTTCCCTCATTTTGGTGAGCGATGCTTATCCCACCTAATGTCTCTAGGGCTGAATTTGTTCAGGAAAGAGACTATTTTGCACTTTTAGTTTATTTAAAAGTCTTGCTTACGAAAATATCCAACATGTGGTTCCATGTTGTGAAATAATTTTGAGGGACCCTAGCAGGTGATCACTATAGCGATTGAAACTGGCCTTTAGTGCAGCTGATTCTCACTCTTCCCCAGATGGTGCTCTATTGTTCGAAATGAGAGACTTCCATTATATACTTATATGCTAAGTATATACTTATATACTTAAGTGCTATATACTTATTCTTTGACTCATTCAACAAACATTTTTCAAGTACCAACTATGTGATAGGCACATTTTAGATATTGAGAATACAGTAATGAACAAAAACGTCCCTGCCCTCGTGGAGTTTATGTAATAGTGGGGTAGACAGGCTATAAATAAGTAATGCAGTCAGATAAACACTAGAAAGAAAAATAGGGCAGGGTCAGAGGGCAAGAGAATGAAAGAGGTGCTATTTTAGGTTTTTTAAGGCAATGCCTCTTGGAGGAGATTATTTGTTAGAGGGGCTTGAATGAAGAGATAGAGTGATGTTATCCAGGGAAGAGTGTTCTTGGCAGAATAAAAGAACCCTAAGGTGGGAGCTTATTTAAGCTTGTTGTAGGAACTTTAAGAAGGCGAGTGTGGCTGGAGCTGAGTAGAGAGAAAGGAGAGTAGGACGTTCTTTTGAATAGCTGGCTGGTAAAGGCTTTTTGCCGTGAGATGGAGTAATTGACGTCAGTTGACACACTGACCTTACCATAGGCATTTACTAAACTCAAGAGAAGAAGGATTCCATCACACATGCATATCTAAAAGGGACTTTCAGTCTTTAGTGGAAATTATTTATTAAGCCATTTTATATTGTATAGCAAACTGTTAGACGGTAGTATTGTAAAGGCGTATGTTTGTTTGGAACCACAAATCTGCTCCAATTTGGTTTAAGTCCTAGGGTGCTCGATGATGTGGGCTGTGAAAGAATTAACAAAGGGGAAAATGCAGAGGGCAACATTTCCAAGAGTGGGAAGGGGTATGGCATGGAGAGATACACCAGCATTGATGGGTGGGAGCTTCGGGCTTTTATTGGGTTATTTTTGGATTATGAAAGGTTGGGGGGTTGCTGTGGTGTGGTCGCTGGGCACTTGGGGCGTTGTAACACGGGAGGGTTCCGTTGGTTTTACAGAAGCTATAGTTTGCTCCAGTGTTATCTTCCGCCTGTGGCTGTGGGAGTGGGAGGATGGTGAGTCACGTTCTGTTCTTGCTTCCCGGTAATTTCCAGGCCTGAGGACATAAGCTTGGAAGAGTAAAACGGCAGTTCTGTTTAACAAAGTCAGAGGCCTGCTAGGCAAATGGTGCCAAGGTAGCAAATGGCGCCGGCTTTACCCTTTTAAATACAGCATGCCCAGCCACCTCTCTGGAATTAGAGATACTAGTAGAAGTCTCCATGGTCTATGCAGATGCACAAATATTAACTAATAATAAAATCAGATTGGAACTGGACGAGCCCAACAAGAGAGAAACCATGCTCGATTAATGTGACAAAGACAGGTTTAGGGACTCGTGGTTTAAAATGTTGGCCACTTTCTTATCTGAGTTGACATACTCTATGTTAAACCTAACCTTACAGAAAAATTGAATTTCTTTCTAAAATTTTCCTAGAGAGTAAGAAACAAATAGAATCAGAGTAATATAGGGTACTTATTTCCAGATCAAAAGGAACATATGTATTGTCCTGGCATTGTTTTATTAAAATAAAATGAATGTCCAGTATTAAAAAAAAGGAAGACAGCAGGAGATGAGACCAGAAGGGAAGCCAGGGACATAGATGGTCTTATAAATTAAGGTAAGGACTTTGGAATTTTTGAATAAGGGAGCTAATAAGATCCATTTGGTTATGTTTTTTTTTTTAATTGATTCATTGACTGATTTTAGAGAATGAGAGGAAAAGCGGGAGAGAGAGAAACATTGATTTGTTGTTCTACTTATTTATGCGTTCATTGCTTGATTCTTTTATGTGCCCTGACCAGGGAGGGACCGAACCTACCACCTTGGTGTGTCAGGATGAGCCTACCTGGCCAGGTTGACTTGTGTGTGTGGGGTTGTTTTTTTTTGTTTGTTTTTTTTAAAGATTTTATTTATTTATTTTTAAAGAGAGGAGAATGGAGGGAGAAAGAGAAACATGGGTTGCCTCTCACACATGCCCCACCAGGGTCCTGGCCAGCGACCTAAGCATGTGCCCTGACTGAGAATCCAACCAATGGCTTTCTGCTTTGCAGGACATTGCTCAACCCACTGACCCAGGCCAGTGAGGGCATGATCCATGTTTGAAAAGGTAAAGTGTAATCCTGACCACCTGGAGCAGCGGGTTCTGCGTCATCCTGGAAAGGGAAAGGTCCCTGGTTGGATTCCAGGTCAGGGCACATGACTGGGTTGCAGGCCAGGTCCCCAATAAGGGGTGCTCGAGAGGCAACCACACATTGATATTTCCCCCCTCCTCCCTCTCTTTCTCCCACCCTTCCCCTCTCTCTAAAAATAAATAAGTAAAATCTTTTTTTTTTAATTTCAGCAATCCAAAATTAGTATCTAAATCAAATGCAATTTCATTCAACATTTCAACATTTTGTGGGAGAGTGCTAAAGTGGTCTTATATTTTTGTGTGTATCTGAAATGTTTCATAATAAAAAGATTTATAAGAAAGATATAATTATCTCTGTAACTTTCTTTTTTCTCTTAATATTCATTTTGTAACTTACCTCTGTTGGTAGATGTACATCTTGTTGTTTATTCAGTTTCTTGACAAAGAGTCTGTTTTGTGTGACTAATCCACAATTTATTTAATCTCCAGTTGGTGAATATTTCATTCATTTCCAATTTTTCATTATTATAAACAATGTGCTGCAGCTAACATATTTGGATTTATTTTGTCCTGGAAGGATACCTTTTTTTTTGCGGGGGGGCAATGTATATAAACTAACTCTGTCCCTCCAACTTACACTGTATATCTGTATATGATTTTGTGGGCCTCCTAAGTTCTCTCTCTCTACATATAAACAGGCTTATGTATGTTTGTGTAAGCATCGTATAATCATGAAAGAATTCAGATTAGTCTAATGACATTTGTACATTGGTTGCATGGACTGAGACACACTGATTTTTGTTCCACTTATTTATTCGTTCATTTGTTGATTCTTGTATGTGCCCTGACCCGAGATTAAATCCACAACCTTATCATGTGAGGACAACAGTCTAACCAACTGACCTACCCGGCCAGGGCTCTCATTGTGTGTGTGTGTTTTTCTAAATATATAATCTTTATTATATTATTTTTCCATTACCATTTATTCCCTTTATGTCCTCCTCCCCACTCATTGTGGTCTTGATTTGCATTACTGTAATGACTAGTGTCGTGTGTTTTTTGCATGTGTTTACTGGCCATAAAATTGTATATCTCTTTGGAAATGTATTTGAATGTCTATTTAAATACTTTGCTCATTTTTAAATTGGGTTTTTTTAATTGTTGAGTTGTAAGAATACCATATATTTTATTGTGTTTTTAAAGTATTTTATTTGTTCATAAGAGTAAGTTTTTTTCTTTTCTTATTGGAAGGTCCAATCCAAAATGAACTGATGTCTTCGCAAGGATATTCTTCTCAGCTTCCTGGATCCTACCCTCATCTGATACCAGCAAAGACTTTGAATCCAGTCTCTGTACAGTCTAAATATGGTGGTTCTCAGACTGTTTCTCCACTAAGTAACTATCAGGGGCTGCAGACTCTTCATAGACCACCTGTGGCTTCTAATGCGGTAACACCTTCACTCCATAGTGGTCCCGTTCCCCGAATGCCGCAACATGCATCTCAGAATCCAGCTGCTACACCAGTGCCTTCTGGTAGCTTTCATCCTGGAGCCAGTGTGCCGCCACCTTTGAATTGGCAATATAACTATCCACCCACAGGATCACGGACAAACCATGGCTCTCCTGTGTCATCCGGACCAGCTCTGTCTGGAAATACAAATTTGACAACAGGTCATCCGTATGTTTCTTCTGGAGATCCTTCGCTTCAAAACAACTTCATAAAATCAGGTAAGAGTTTTCTAAAAATATAGAAATGGGAAACTTTTTCTTATTTAGATGTTTGAATTAATATTTCAAGCTTTAAAATCATATGGAAGACTATTGATTTTTTTAAAACCACTGTTAATGTTTAAATAAAATACTTTTCTAACCTTTAAGCTAACTTAAGATTATGAGTTGTTCCTGCTTTGCTGCTTCTTATTGTCTGTTTCTTTGAGTCACCCATGGTACCTCAGGGATTGAAGTATGCATGCAGAACCGCTTCCCTTAGAACCATTCATTACTTTTAATAACTGGGTTCTATTTTGTGTTCTAGGGAAGCTCAATCCCTGCGTTCTCTTTTTGGTCTTGATCTGAGGCTTGGGTTATCTTTTTGTTATGGCATAGACAGTTTTTGGCCCTAGAAACTGCAGGATCATGGATGTCAAAACAGATAATACTTTCAGGGTGAGGAGTGTTATTGAGGGCAGAGATTTATATCTATGTTTTCTTCTGAAAGGTTTATATTGGGTTAGCGAAAGCGCCTGTTTAGTTTTTTTCTGTAAAATAAAAGACATTTTTCATTTTCACCAATAACTTTCTTGATTAGGATATTTTGAGTATGTCAGCCATCTCCTGCTATTGGCTTCCAGTGGGTAGAGGCAGGAAGTGCTGCTGAACATTTTCCAATGCATAAGACAGCCCCACAGCAAAGAATTATTTGGCCAGAATGTCACTGGTACCAAGAAACTTCCCAAACCACTTTTGACATTCCATCAGTCACAGAACCTTCTCCATATACTGCACAAATCTTTTTTTTCCTTTTTTGCATTTCAGTTGCATTTTTTCCTTTCTTAAAATAATAAAGTATATTATGCTGAAAATGTTGTGTACCTTCTTCTATCTTTAATATTAAAATGGGTGCCCAAAAATCCACCAATTTTGATAAGTTTTTCTTAAATGCACACTGATATGACAGCTGTCACAATACAATCTAACAATTGTTTTGAATAAGGTTAAAGACAACTAAGCACTACTAGAACCGTCATACAGAAAAAACTAAAGGAACTTTTGGGACAACCCAGTAGTTTTAGCTCTTATATTAAGGTCTTTTATCAATTTTTAAAGAGATTTTATTCATTTACTTTTAGAGAGAGGGGATGGGAAGGAGAAAGTGAGAGTAAAATCATTTGGTTGCCTCTGCCATGCGCCCCATCCAGAAGCAGGCCTGCAACCCAGGCATGTTCCCTAACCTGGGCCCGCAACCGTTTGCTTTGTGGGACAATGCTCAACCAACTGACACACGCCGGTCGGGGCTCTTTGATCAATTTTGAGTTAATTTTTATGTATGTCGTTAGGTTGGGATTCATCTTGTGCATGTGGATATACAGTTGTTACAGGACTATTTGATAAACTGTTCTTCCTCCCATTGAATTATCTTGGCTCCCTTGTCGAAAATCAATTGATCATAAATGTAAGGGTTTATTTCTGGACTCTGAATTCTATTTTATTGATCTATATGTCTATTTTTATACTGGTACTAAACATCTGGATTATTGAGATATTGTAGTGAGCTTTGAATTTAGGGAGTGTGGCTCTACCAACCTGGTTTTTCTTTCAAGATTGACTTGCTGTTCTGGGTTCCTTGCTTTTCCATAAAACTTTCAAATCAACTTGTCCAATTTTGTTAAAAAAAAAAAAAAAAGGACAATGGGATTTTGATAAAGGATTATGTTGAAACTGTGTATCAGTTTGGGAAGAAATCTATATATTCTTAGATTGACTTTGATCTTTTTATTTTTAACCTCAGTATTGGGTCATAATCTCATTCAAAAATAGGTTTATTTAACTATTAAAATTTGTCTTACACACTTACCAACGTTAGTAGTGTTACTTTGAAAAGCATTTAAAATCCCGTATTGGGATTTGCAGGTTGATTCTGCTCAGCAAACATCCTCAAGGAAAGGAACTAGTAAGATCATCCAAGTTAAATAGTAAGATCAATAGTTACCTTTTCATACTCCTGTGTATTTATGCATCTACATACCGTGTACCCTTCATCATGCTTGTAGTTTGCTAACTACTGAAAAATAACTACTTATTTTTCTTAACTCTTAGCTTCTTGACCAGCCATTGGCCCTGGTGAATGTATTTTGGCCTTGTAAAGATAAAGGCTAATTCTATAAATTTAGTTTCTTTGTAGAAATATTTTGACCCACAATTGTTAGCACCAAATTCTCCTGGTTACTTTTATTCTTATTCATTTGACACTATGAGTGAGCATCAATCACTTGAAATTAATGAATATTCACTTCATTGTTAATAATTAAAGGTAATATTTATTGAATATTTACTATTTTCCAGCACTTTACCACACTTTTATATGTGTTATGTTACTTAACTTTCACAATAGTCTCTTACTAGCAAGAGATTGAGGCTTGAATAATTTACCCAAAGCCACAAGAACATAATTTGGGAACAGGTACTCTATAAAAACGATATAAGAGCAGGTGCAGCTGCTTGTGTGAAAGCACGCGATCTGTAACCTGACATATTTCTGGCTGTGACAGAAACCGTCAGGGAGGGCACCCTGACTCGCACAGGTCGGTCCGAGAGACAGAAGCAAGTGTCAAACTCACGAGGATTTTGTGTAAAGAAGGAGAAAGACATATAAACTGATAAAATGAACCTAAAATAAATGTATGACTACCCTTTTGCCTTATGAGACCTCTAAAAAAAGTCCTCATTTTTTAACCTCTTTTTTTAACCCATCATTGATAGTAGGTGCCTGATTGTCTGATTTCAAAACTATTTATCTAAGTTACACCAAATTTCTAGTTCACATACTAAAATTCTCTTTTTTTCCCCAGTAGGCCACCTGTTGGCCAGCCTAACTTTTGCTTTAGGGATCTTAGAAGGCAGGTTCTAAAACTCTAGTTATTAGTGTTATAAATAAGATTTATGCAGCTTGAAAAAAATAACATCTATTCTATAAAATGTATTTAATCCATTTAATCCAAATTTTTGGATTAAAAAAATATTCTTTTTATGGCAGTGAAAAATCTCTGGAAGTTTACTTGCATGCTATTAAACATTAGGTTGTTACATTTTCGTGGCCAGATGCATCATATGTTCTTGTTCATGGAGAGTTGGTAATGTACCTTGTTCTTTTGTTCCTTTGACTTGTCTGTATTGCCAAAGATATGCGTGGGTGCTTCTCTGATAAGGGAGTTACATGGTAGGAACCTTTGTATTCACTTGTCTTCTTAGGAGCTATAAGGTTTAGTAATGCGATCATTTTTCAATTCAGCCCTGGAGAACTGAACAATATTGAAGAAGCATGTTGAAAATTTTTATATTTGCTTGTCTTTATTCCTTTAGTGTAACATAATACAGGATTAACTGTAGGATATACTATATGTAAAATTGATTTCTTATTTCACTTTCAAATTCAGAGGATAAAAAAAAGCCTTGGGATGAAAATTAAATCACATACTTATCCGTAGTGTTTAATATACTCTGTAGACTTGGTCCCTCCTCTTTTGCAAATGAGAAAGTGGAAGCAATATACGTTTTTTTAATACTTCTTCATTCTTCCTTTTTAAGTTTTTATATTTATTTTATTTTCTTTAAAGGTTTTATTTATTTATCTCTAGAGAGAAGGGAAGGGAGAGAAAAAGAGAAACATCGATGTGAGAGAAAAACATTGATCGGTTGCCACACATACACACCCTGACCAGGGACCAAACCCGCAACCCAGATATTTGCCCTGACCAGAAATCCAGCCAGCGACCTTTTACTTTGTGGGACAGTGCGCAGCCAACTGAGCCACACTGGTCAGGGCTGGAAGCAATATTGCTGACTTGAATGAACAGAGGTGGTGTGGGTATTGGAACTTTTCATCACATAGAAGAATTTCCCCAAGAGTAATTGATAATATTTGTATACTAGCCAGAACTTAATTGTCCAAATAGAAAATGGGTGAAATTGAGGCCGTGAGAATACTGGTAGGTACAAGGAAAAATACCATGTCATTCTTAGTTTAGTTCGATGGGTACTTTTACACCTCTTGGAGAGCAGTGTTTTATAAGGCATATACCTAATGAACTTTGGATTATCTCCTGGTTTTTAAGCTTACGAAGCGTTCTTAATATAGCATTTAAACTATTATTGAAAATAAATTACTTTTTTTCCTTCTTATTGAATTTATCGAGGTGACAGTGGTTAACAAAAGTGTACAGGTTGCAGGTGCACAGATCCAGAACATGTCGCCTACAGCCTGTGCTGTGTGTTCACCGCCGAAGTCAGGCCCCCAGCCATCACCATCCCCCTCCCCCTGGCAGTCACCACGCTGTTGTCCAGGTCCATGAGTTCTTCTTTTTCCCCTTTTTTGCTCAATAACCACACCCCCTCCTGCTCTCAACCTGTTCTTTGTCTATGAGTCGGTCTTTATTTTGCTTATTAGTTCATTTTGTTTATTAGATTTCACACATAAGTGAGATCATATGGTATTTGTCTTTCTCTGACTGGCTTATTTCATTTAGCGTAATTCTCTCCAGGTCCATCCATGCTGTCCCAAAGAGTAAAATCTTCTTCTTCGTCCTCTCCCTCCCCGCTCCCCTCCCCTCGCCTCCCCCCTCCTTTTTTATGGCCAAGTAGTATTCCACTGTGTTAATGTACCACAGCTTCTTCTTGTTGTTGTTGTTGTTTTTACTTTAAGAGAGAAAGGAAGAGAGGGAGAGAAACATCTATGTGTGAGAGATGAATTGATTGCCTACATGGATCCAAAACATGGATTGGTTGCCTCTTGTACACCCCAAACTGGGGACTTGGCCTGCAACCGAGGCATGTGCCCTGACTGGGAATCAAACTGGTGATCCTTTTGTTTGCAGGCCAGTGCTCAATCCATTGAGCCACATCAGCCAGAGCAGCCACAATTTGCTTGTTTGTTTTTTTTTAAAAGATTTTATTTATTTATTTTTTTAGAGAGGGGAAAAGAGGGAGAGAAACATCAATGTGTGGTTGCCTCTAGCACACCCTCTACTGGGGACCTGGCCCACGACCCAGGCATATGCCCTGACTGGGAATTGAACCGGTGACCCTTTGGTTCACAGGCTGGCACTCAGTCTCCTGGGCCACGCCAGCCGGGTCAGCCATAGCTTTTTTTATCCACTCATCTACTGATGGACACTGTACCTACCCTATAAGTGATTTGATGTTGAGTTCATACTTGCACTGCTTTAATAACTGACAGGTAAGAAGCATTGTAGGAAAGACATGGAAATATGTAAAGTATGCATATAAAATAAAGTCATAAACCTGAGAAGTTAACATATTTCTGGTAATTTGTTAGTGGTTTAATTAAAATGTAAATTTTGAAGTTACTCAATTTGGTAAAAGACTGTTTTGGTGTTTGTCTAAAATTCTTAAGTAACATGTAAAAAACCAATGTTTCCATAGGTCCTGCACCCCCCTTAGTGAATTCACCTCTGCCTGCCACTTTGCAACCAGGAGCTCCTCTTGGGCCCCCTCCAACTGGAGGACCACCTCCGGTGAGCGCTCACGCTGCTCAGAAAGCATCACACAGGGCTGTGCCCCAGCCCTCATTTAATTCAGCTGTCAACCAAGAAGGTAAGCATGGCAAAACCAAGTCCCAAAGGTTGTCTTAGGGTAGAAGGATAAACATTATCTGAAATCTGTGTATCCGTATCATTTTTTTCCAGAACATTTAGTTGTTTTGGTTAGGGTTGGCCTTCAGAAATTTAAAAAAGTGCTTCAGAATTCCACTGTCCTATGTATTTTGGGCTATGGACTAGCATTTGGGAAGCACTGCTGTTAACTTTTTTATTGCTGTGGTTATAAAGTTAGGTGCCTTTTGGGAGAGGGAGGTGAAAGGGAAGTTCCTGCTTTTCTGGACATGATAGAATTTTTTTTTAAAGATTTTATTTATCTATTTTTAAAGAGGGAAGGGAGGGAGAAAGAGAGGGAAAGAAACATCAATGTTGATTGCATCTTGTGAGCCCCCTACTGGGGGCCTGGCCTGAAACCCAGGCATGTACCTTGACTTGGAATTGAACTGGTGACCCTTTGGTTCGCAGGCCAGCACTTACTCCACTGAACCACACCAGCCAGGGCTATTCTTTTAATATATTAGCTGTTTACCGTGGAAGCAGTATTTTGATTGCCACTGTTATTGTGAATATTAGCAAATATTTATGAGTCTAAATAAAAAGGTAAATATGCAAGCATTTTGAAGTTTTATGTAAATGAAAGATTTTAAAGCATTGTCTTAAGATGTAACCTTAAGATATGTTTATTAATTTAAAATATTTTGTAAAGTAAGAAATTTGATTTTAGCAGTAATATAACTGTTGCAGCAAGATACAGAAATAGGAAAACAGAAAAGCAGGGGAAAAGCCATTGCCTGTATCCTCTACAAAATACAATAAATACCATTTTTCTTCTAGTGTTCCCTTTTTTTAGAATTGTAAGTAGGGGGATAAAAAACACTTGAGTAGTTTGAAAAGAATGGTATTAATGATGAATAACAAAAAGATAAAACAATGTCCCACTGATTGCCGCATTTTTCAAAATTTTAACCAACTAAAAATATATACGAGTGTTTTTGTTTGTTTCTGCAGTTTTACTAAGTTTTTCTATATCAACTCATGGTTAAAAATCATGGTGGTTTTGAGAACTAGAAAGAAGTTGTGACTTGATTGAAACCATTAAACTTATCTATTTGGTGTTGACTATTAATGTTAGCACCTTTGTGCTTAGGTGCTAGAAGTTAATGGTGTTCACTGATTTTAGATTCTTCTGTACCTGAATTAGGGCTCATAAATAGCATACATGCTGAGGAATAAGTTTTTACTCTTCATAAGCAGATGTCCTTGGTATTTAACTTGAACTCTTTCAATTGGGAGAAAAGAAGATTTTTTAAAATTGCTTTGAGATAGAGACAGGAAGGGGGGAGAGGGAAAGAGAGGAGAGACATCAATTTGTTTTTGCACTTATTTATTCATTCATTGGTTGATTCTTGTATGTGCCCTGACTAGGAATTGAACCTTCAACGTTGGTGTATTGGGAGGACACTAACTGAACTATCTGGGTGAAGCCAAGATTTTTTTTTTAAAGTGATTCTGTAGACTACATCAGTTGTCCTAATTAATTTATATCACCTTCAAATTAATTCTAAATTTTCCTTTGTTTCATATTTTGAAAAAATGTTATTTTTATCCTCATTTTATTTTTAAATAATATTGATTTTGGTGATTTTTGTTTTTGTTTGTTTTGCTCTTTAGAAGTTTTTTTTAAAGATTTAATTTCTTTTTTTGAGAAGGGGAAGGGAGGGAGAAAGAGAGAAACACCCACATGCAAGGGACATATCTATCAGTTGCCTAACGTACTGAAACGCAGGCCTGTGCCCTGGCCTGGAACTAATGACCTTTCTGTTCCCAGGTTGGTGTCAGTCCCCTGAGCCCCGCCAGCCAGGGCTCTTAGGGGCTTTTAATGCTGCTCTCAGAGATGCTGAAATCTTTCAGATAGTATATAACTTTATAAATTCCACAAAGGACCATCCTTTTTGGAAGTTTATAAAATTATTTGATACTTTTGTGTATTGTATATTTAAAAGCTGGCGTTGTTTGAAACTTTTATTTTTTGACATTTTTCTTGAGCTGTGGTTTAAACTCTATTTGTCATTTGGAAAGCTATCTTAAATTAGCTCCAGTCTTGCAGATACTATAACAATGTTCTAATGTAAATATTAATAAACTTCCTTCTTAGGTATTACATCAAGTACCAATAACGGATCTATGGTGGTTCACAATAGTTATGATGAAATTGAAGGCGGTGGCTTCTTGGGTGAGATGCTATGAAAGTTTTTTTCCCCCCCTAAATATGTGTTCATTCTTGGAAACAAAGGAGAAATCTTCATAATCATGTTCTATGACAATACCTACTGTTAGCATTTTTTATCTCCATGCATATAGATTTTTTGGTTAGTTTTTCCCCTCAGAATTGGGATTGTGGGCTTTATTATTATATTGTGACTATAGAGTATTTTCTATCAATTAGATCTATTTAAATTTATTTAACCAGTTGAACATTTAGTATGTTTTTATTAAAGTTGTTTTGAATTAGAATTTCCTTCTGAATACAAAGTTTAGTACATATAAGTTAACCGTACCAAACATTTTTGTGTTTATAGCTGTAGTCTACCTTAAAGAGATTTTAATTATTGCTATTACTTTGTTACTAGTGTTTATTTGTCTTATTTTACAAAACTAGTGAGAGAATATTACTCAAAGGATTTTGGAGTTATAATTCCTATAATTTGATGCCTCTGTGTGTTGATTTCAAGTATTCTGGAGTGTAAAATAGAACTTAAAAGTTACCTTGTTTCTAGCAACACCACAGCTTACTAACAAGACTACCCCAGTGAGCCGAAGTGTTGGATATTCATATCCCTCCTTACCGCCCGGCTATCAGAACACAGCGCCACCAAGTGCAGCCGGAATGCCACCCTCTTCCTTGAGTTACCTAAGCGGGCCACAGGCCTTTACTCAGGTACGCTTTTTGCTTTTGCTTTGTTACTTATTTTCCACCTTTGGTTTAAACTGTATATACATGAAAAAGCTTTAGGAAGTGTATAATGAGCATTTTTAACCAATTAGAATAATAATGGGTATTTCATAAGACTTTTGTCTGTTACATATCTCCAGAACCAAAAAATTGACCAGAAAGTCTAGATTATACTTTTATTTAGAGAGAAATTAAGTAACTAAGTCCTTGTACACTTCTGCTTTCAACTGAAGACATTGTAAAGGCTACTTACTTTGAAATTATGTATCTTTAGACTCCCTTAGGTGCTAATCATTTAACTGCAAGCATGAGTGGATTAAGTCTACACCCAGAGGGGCTAAGAGTTGTTAACCTTCTTCAAGAAAGAAACATGCTTCCACCAACACCTTTGCAACCTCCGGCTCCAAATTTGCACGAAGATATCCAGAAGCTCAACTGTAACCCAGAGTAAGGCTTCAGTGTTTTCTTACCAAATACGACTTTTTACTCATTCCAAACATTTTCCAGGTATTTTTTAGCTTCATATATTATGAACAAGTTGTACAAATACAGTAATTTATTAAAGTAGTTCTGCATGCAGAAAACAACTCTGTTAGTTCCTTACTTAATTGATATTTGAAATGTTCTAAGTCCAGAAATAGGTCTGTAACCCTGAGCTGGCTGCCGCCTTTCTCAGCTCTCATGGGAGTGGGGCGTTCATTATCATTATGGTGGCTCTGTTACTTCTTCAGTCCAAAGTATGGAGATTTGATTCTATATAATCCTTTATTTGCTCTCATTTTAAGTTGTTTTCCATAACAAACATAATTATAATACTTTTTTCTCCCCTAAAATTGACTGTATACGTTTAGATGTATACAGTGAAGATGTTCTGATAAATTGAATTTTGTAATAGTCTTTCAGAATCTTTAGCAAAACTGAACTTTTCAGTAAAAAACTTAACTTGCATCTGCACATTTGGATCCTCCCCTTGTTATTCCAGTGTAATCTAAATTTACGTAAAGAAATAGGTCATTTGATAGTCTAGACTCTCTTACACACAGCAGAGAAGAGAATAATTTCCTTTAATTATATAATACAAATTGTAACCATCTACCCTCTCTTTCTGAATAGGACTTAAATACTTAAATGGGATAAAATTTGATAGGGCCCACTGAAATATATTTTATCTATAATCCGATCCAGTGTTAAAATGTGTACCTTTTAAATCTTTCTGTTGTTCAAAAATAATCATAGCAACAACTGACACATCATATTTACTTTTATACAGGCTCTTTCGATGCACACTGACTAGCGTTCCTCAGACTCAGGCCTTACTGAATAAAGCCAAACTTCCTCTGGGACTGCTGCTTCATCCTTTCAAAGACCTAGTGGTATGTTTCATTAGTGAAAGTGAATGTCTCATAGAAGAGTATCTTGGTGGTTAGGAATTCTGTACAGTAGTGCAAGAATCACATATAGAATGTGTTTGAACTATCTTTAGGTATTTGACCATTGACAGATTCTTTTGTTTGTAATTCAACCAAAAATTTTATTACCAAACTCTTTCAAAGTGAAGTAAAATAAGCATGTTGTTGAAGAATCCAAGATGTACTAAATAGAGATACTAAAAGAAAATAAATAAACGCACCATTATAATTTTAAAAAGTTATAAATTATTTACCCATTAATGTTCTTTACCCTTCTCCTAGTTCTGCCATTCTTGGAATAAAATTGTTTGCTTTAAGAAGCTGTTAATAGCCCTGGCTGGTGTAGCTCAGTGGATTGTGTGCCAGCCTGTGAACCGAAAGGTCACTGGTTCAGTTCCCAGTCAGGACACATGCCTGGGTTGTGGGTCAGATCCCCAGCTAAGGGTGTGCAAGAGGCAAACAATTGATGTTTCTCTCATACATCACTGTTTCTGTCCCTTTCTTTCTCCCTCCTTTCCCCTCTCTCTAAAAATAAAAAAATACAATCTTTAAAAAAAAAAAAAAAAGCCCCTCCCCTTTCAAATCCTTACCTGAGGGCATTTTTTCATTGCTGGGAGTGAGAGAGACAGACAGACACAGACAAACTGATTGGTGGCCTCCTGCTTATGTCGTGACTGGGGATTGAACCTGCAGCCTAGGTATGTTCCCTGACTGGGGATCAAATAGGCAACCTTTTGGTTTACAGGACAACGTTCCAACCAAATCCCATAGGCCAGGGCAAGCACTTTCACTTTTGACCCAAGGCTCTGGTACTTTGACATGTGACCACATATTCTTGGGAGGACCAGTGCATAAGTGAATTGACTTTCCCAAAACAAACCTCCTTTTGCTGATAAGATTGTATTGCCTTTACTGTTTCTTTTTCCCTATATTAAGGCTTTACTTTTAATATGTAGAATAAACTTTAAATAGGAACATAATTGCAAAGTTTAATTGAATATTTAAATATGATTATTCTTTCATGAGAACTTAGTTTCTTAAGGTAACAAGAGAAACTTCCAAATAATTTTATTGGTTCTTTGTTTTAGAATGTCGATCATTCCTTTGCCACTAATCTCAACAGTACATTGTAAATTTACTGCTCTGGCTGGTGTGGCTCAGTGGATTGAGCACTGGCCTGTGAACCAAGAGGTTGCCGGTTTGATTCCCAGGCAGAGAGCATGCCTGGGTTGTGGGCCAGGTCCCCAGTTGGGGATATGCAAGAGGCAACCACACATTGATGTTTCTTTCCTTTTTTTCCCTTCCTTCCCCCTCTCTAAAAATAAATAGAGTCTTTAAAAAAAAAAAAAAAGAAAAGGTAAAATTTAAACCCTGGCCAGATAGCTCAGTTCATTAGGGTGTCATCCTGATACACAAGGGTTTGATCCGCACTCAGCATGTAAAAGAAGCAACCAGTGAATGCATAAATAAATGGAACAACAAATCAATGTTTCTATTTCTTTCTCCTTCTCTCCCTCTCTCTTTCCTTCCCTCTCTCTCCCCTCTTCTGTCTTTCTAAAATCAATTAAATATATATATATAAAATAAATAAATAAAAGGTAAAATTTAAGAGACCAGTCCTGGGGAAAAGCAATAGGGTTTCAAATCAATACATTGCTGCCATGTAAATCTTTTATGTGGCAGTTTAGACATATCTTTTTACCCTAGGTTTTTTTCTCAAAAATTATGCTATCCCAGCAATAATTTGGAACGCATGATTGCTGCTCCACCTCTTGTCACGATGATCACTACCTTCAAAAAATCAGTTCTGTTTTTCAAGCAGTTGCCGGTGGTTACCTCCAGTACAATTGTGAGATGCCGTTCCTGCAGGACGTACATCAACCCTTTCGTCAGCTTTCTTGATCAAAGAAGATGGAAGTGCAACTTGTGTTATCAAGTCAATGACGGTATGTTTTTTTGAAACATTTAAAAATTTCTACTTGCATTGTAGGGAAATCAGGTGAAACAGATGTGAAGTTAAAACCAAAAAACCCTGTCTTACCTATAATTATTCCACTTAGAGTTAGCTTCTGTTAACTTTTTTCTATGTACTTATATATAAATAATTACATACTTTTTAAGCAAAAAAGTGATAATATTTGATACCTCCTTTTTACATTTATTATATAAGGTATGTAATAAGTGGTATATTTTATGGTATTAAGTAAGCCTGTAATTTAAGAACTCTTTATTTAGGAGTTGTCCCATGCGTTTACTCTATGACAGCGATTTTCAGCTGGTGCACTGCAAGAGTTTTTAAAACATGCGGTACCTGACTGTTCAGTCAGGGGCGCTGCCCTCTTTTTCCTTAGGTTGTCAAATAAAAAAATGACAGCAGCCAACACAACAATAGCAATTGGGTGTGAATTTATCAAAATTACACCTTCTTTTGGTCAGATCAGCAAGAAACATATTTTTTGATGTGCTGTAGAATTTTAAGGATTAGTTTACGTGTGCCCTGAGTTGAAAGAGGTTGAAAATTGGTGCTCTCAGGTAAAAGAAGGTAAGTCCCCAGGAGAGCTGCCGTTGGCTTCGTGCGCTGCTGTGGGAAGGGCGGTGTGGGCAGTGCCGGAAGGTCAGCTGAGTGTAGTTTTCTCAGTAATTGAGGAGGAGATCTCTTTTAGTAACTCTTTCATAATTTATTTTTGAGAAGTATCGTCTAACCGACAGCACTTTAATAGGATTATAGAAGAAGGAAGGTATGTGGATATGTGCATTGAAAATTCAGTCTCTGGCCTGGACCTGCGTAGCTTAGTTGGTTGTGCGTCATCTGGCAAAGTGAAAGGTTGCTGGTTGGATTCCCGGTCAGGGCAGGGCATATGCCTGGGTTGCAGGCCAGGTTCCCGGCTGGGGCGTGTATGAGAGGCAACCAGTTGATGTTTCTCTCACACATCTATGTTTCCCTCCCTCTCTTTCTCTCTCCCTTCCCCTTTCTCTGAAAATACATAAATAAAATCTTTTTAAAAAAAGAAAAAAATTAAGTCTCTGCTTGAAGGAAATTTCATTAAGCATTGGGAAATAAAGGAGTTTAAGGTATTTTTAAAAACCATTCTTATTTTTTAAGAGTAGAGGAAAGTGCTTTGGCTGGTTTGGCTCAGTTGGTTGGGTGCTGTCCCACAAGCACAAAGGTCTCCAATTTAATTCCTGGTTAGAGCATATTCTTGGCTTGCAGGTTCAGTCCCTGGTTGAGGTCCCTGTAGAAGGCAACCAATTGATGTTTCTCTTGGACATCAATGTTTCCCTCTCTCCGTCCCTTCCCCTCTCTATTAAAAAAAAAGGAAAAAGAATAAAGGAAAGTGAGGCTAGAGTAAGAGCATTCTTTTTATTCTATGATAATTCAGAATATATGTGTGTGTGTGTGTGTGTGTGTGTGTATAGTGTTTAATACACCTTTAAAATCTTATACACATATGTGCTTCAGTATATGAAATAAAATTATAGTGAAGATTGAAGTCACTTTTATATGAAGCCCAGACCATTTCATGAACTATGGTTTACATAGGGATTTGAATTTCTAAATAGTGGGAAGACAGATGCAATGATAATTCATTTAGAAAACACTCTGAACTCTATTGTAATAAGTAATAAGCAACAGATGTTCCATAGAAGTCTCATTAATTAATGAAATTACGCGACCCTTGGACTTTCTAGGAGCAGTTAGAGTCTATATATGAGTATTACATGTCAAATGTTAATATACTTGTGCCATTGAAATTTAAGACAAAGTTTAGTCTTGCATTTAAGAAAATAATTGGCATTTAATGAGTTTTTATCACTTTTCAAGATATTTTATTAAAGCTACAATAGCAAGAATTAAGACAAAGAGGATATTAGAAGACAGAAAGTGATTTAGTTATAAAAACAAGACATACATAGGGCCATTCAGTATATGGGGAACTTGAATAAATCTCAAAAACAAGGTGCATGTGTTACCCCTTAATATTTAGTTTATACTGAAGTATTTATAAATTACTAAATGAAGACAAGAGCCAAACTCAGGGTTTACTAAACTTAATCTCTTAGTTTTTATCATTATATGGTGTTTACTTACACAGTTCCTGAAGAATTCATGTACAACCCTTTGACCAGAGTCTATGGTGAACCTCATAAAAGACCTGAAGTTCAAAATGCTACAATTGAGTTTATGGCTCCTTCAGAATACATGGTGAGTTTTTAGTTTTTAACATAGCTTATTTATCTCATAATACTGGATTTCAAATAAAACAATATAGCATCCTTTAACAAAATTTTATGGTTTTGAGCTCATAAAAGCGCACCTGCGCCTTTCCCTTTCCTCTTTCTCCCCACTGGTGTGCATTGCGATGAGACTTGCAGCCGGGAGGACTGGGCAGTGGCAGCGCTTCCCAAGCCAGCCCGAGTCCCCAGGCCCCCTTTCCTGTGACTTCCTAGACACCCAAAGCAGCCCTGCCTGTGCTCTCCCGTTGCTTTTGTCCTCAGCCCTTTCCTGTGTCAGTGGCCCCCACTTTAAAAAACGTATTCTCAAAATGAAAAAAAAGATCACAAAAGTTATGCTTGTTCATTATAAAAATAGTTAATTAGTATATGATGGTAAGTCTGAAAAGTGTATGTAAAGAGCCACTTACGTTTCTTGTGTGTTCATCCGGAAATTTGCAAAATCATATTGGGACCATATTTACTTTTATGTCACTTCCAGCTTTTTTTACTACAAAGAATGGTGTGATGAACATCCTCTTGCAAGTACTTTTATACCCTTGTGTATCTGAGGTCTTGCATTTTAAAAATAATGATTATGCCTAATGTTTCATTAGCACTTTACATTTTACAAAGCGCTATATTTTTTATCACAAACAAGTCTCTGAACTAAGCAAAGGAAATACAGTTAGACCTATTTTACAGATGTGAAAACAGACTTATCAGGGTAAGTGTAGGTTAAGTGACTTGCTAAATATCCTTTAATAAGTTGTGGAGGTCACATTAAGTTCCAGGTCTTTTGATTTCATTACCCTTTCACCATGCCGTAATTGCCTGCAATGGAAGGGGAATATGAAGATAGGACTTAACACCAAATTTTAATGTTTTATTTTAGAATATTTGTGTGAGATAATCTTTCTGTATCTGAGCAATTGGGGCCCTTTCAGTATAGAAATTATAAGGGTTCCATTTTTTTTTTCACCACAGTGAAATTTCAGTGTAGAAAACATTTTTGTGAAACTTAAATGCTTGGTAATAGCTTTTTGCAATTTAGTTGTCCCCTTGTTGAATTAAAACCAAAAGATGCAGAAGCATTTGTTCTTTTGAATTGGCCTTTGTGGGTTTCTTTTCTTTTATCTCCCAGGTTTTGCAAAAATGGCTTTCTTTAAATTTGGGACTTACCTCTCTTTATCAAGAGGTTTTGCTTCTTCCTGACATCTCTTGGGCAACAGATTCTATGGTTCTACTAGTGATAATGCAAAAACATATAAAAGTTAGTATATTATATACCCAGTTCTGGTTGTGTTTATTTGATGCTTTTTATTGAATTGGAAACAGATCTTTGAATTTGGAAGTTTAAAATTTAGTCATGCATTTTTATGAAACTTGGCTGAAATGCGTTGGTTAAATAACTGGCTCAAACAACTTAATTTGTACCTTTCAGAATTGTAATTCCCTTAAATTGTGAAATATAAATGCATATATGGAAAAGTAAAACATAAATGTATAGGATACAAAATAATTATAAATGCTCTGTTAGTACCACCCAGGCCAAGAAATTGAACATTGCTTATATCCCAGAAGCCCTTCTGATTACATTTCCACCCCTTCCGTCCTAGAGAAAATACAATTTTGACTTATAGCAATTATATCCTCATTTTCTCCTAAGTATGCAGCTGAAAACAACATAATATAGTTCTGCCTGTTTTTTAAACTTATGTTCTTTTTATATTATTTTCTTTATCCATTGTTTATTATAGTCTCTATTTAATCAGTTAATAAGGCTTATTTTATTGTTTTGCTGATGTGGACATGACAAATGATAAATTTAATCCTGTTAAGTGTATTTAATGAGATCCCTTTTTTCCTCAGTTGCGACCACCTCAACCTCCAGTGTACCTCTTTGTATTTGATGTGTCTCACAATGCAGTTGAAACTGGATACTTGAATTCAGTTTGCCAGAGTTTGTTAGACAACCTGGATTTGTAAGTATCTTAATTCCGTTTAAATTTGAAACTAAGTGTTTTCAAAATGGATAAGTAGTTTCAAAATACAAATAAAAGCTATCTAGTTATGTCCTAAAAGCCTACATAAATCAGTTGTGAACTTTAGGCCTTGCTTTCTCTGAGAAACTTCATTTTAACTTTTAATTATGCAGAAAGTTTAAACATATAATAAATAGAAAGAACTTCCAGATATCGATTCCTCAACTTCAACATTTTTAGCATTCAGCTGTTCTTGCTCCATGTAACCATGCACCCATACTTTTTCCCCCTTAAGTATTTTAATGTAAATCTCAATCAGCCTATCATTTTACCTATAAATGCTTGGAATTGTTTTTAGCCTTAACTAAAATACAAGTATCACGCCAAACAAAATTAGCAATAATTTCATAATGTGAACTAATACCAGTTCAGTTTTTGTTCCTGATTGTCTCAAAAGTGTTTTTTTACTGTAGGTTTGGTGGAATAAGAACCCAAACTATGTTCACACATTGCATTTGGTTGTCATAAGTCTCTTAAAATATCTGTACTTTAAATGGTGCTTATATACTTAGTGTAACCTGTAAAAGCTCATGTGACCTTTTAGTGTAATGAATTAGAGTGTTCTTGTGTTGTACAGAAGAACGTGGAAAACCCAAATCTTATCGGAAACAGACTAACTCCCTCACCTTGCTGATAAGAGGCTTTCTAGTTCTTGCCGGCATTTGTACTTTCGATGTTGCAGGTTGTGTATGGGGACTGTCTATTGAGGAAGAGTCCACTGATTCACCCAAGCATGGGTAACATTTTTAAAAGATAAGCAGCACCTAAATTTATAGTACATTTTAGAGTTAGTATATAGTAATTTTGTAATGTTTTTATAAATTCAAATCATCTATAAAGTTTTGGTTATGCTTTCCAATGTTTTTATATGACATTTCCCAAGTGATTATATAATTTTATATAGATGTAATGAGTTTTGAATTGCTGTATTATTACTGGGTTTTGTTGATTGTTTGGCTTATGCGTAGTGTTTTCACTTTGAGTCGGGTATGTTTTCATGGCGATGAAACATTAGGTGGGTTGAACATTTATGTTGAGACAAGTCACATAATGTAAAAGTAGATGTTTGCATGTAACTCTTAGCATATATTTAATATGTATATATGTATATGGGAAAACTTGATAAAATACTCTTCTAAATTTATTTTTAGGCTTCCTGGCAACACTAGAACAAAAATTGGCTTCATAACATTTGATAGTACAATCCACTTCTACAGTCTTCAAGAAGGTCTCTCTCAACCTCAGATGCTAATAGTTTCAGATATTGAAGGTATATATTATACACTTGAAATTATTGAACTAATTTAATCATTTTCAGTTTTAGAAATATTTCATGACTATTTGACCAATCAGGAGTGTATGGTATAATTCCACTATGTTGAGGAAAACCTTGAGTATAAAATCATAAGATTGTTGGAATTGCAAGAGTCCTTCAGTCAGTCCAATCCCTCATTTAATAGAAGAGGAAACAGGGAAGTAAAGTGAATTCTGAACAAGGCAACAAAAACACTGATGTTAAAACTCAGGTTAGCTCTTTTTCTCTTCTCTTTTTTCATTCAAAAAGTATTCAAGGATAGTCTTAGAGCCCATTGGAATAGATTAGAGAACTCAGAAATAAACCATCACATGTATGGTCATTTGATTTTTGACAAGGACACCAAAACTTTCAGTGGGAAAAGATAGTCTTTTCAACAAATAGTTCTGGGAATACTGAAAGTGCAAATTCAAGAAGTTGGACCCTTACCTTAAGCCAGATTAAAAGAATTAACTCAATGGATGAAAGACCTAGACTTAAGAGCTGAAACTATAAAATATAAAACTCTTAGAAGAAAACATAGGTGAACATCTTCATGGCACTGAACTTGGCATTGATTTTCTGCATGACACCCAAAGCAAAGGCAATGAGGGAAAATATAAATTGGACTTCATTAATATTAAAAAACTATTCTACATCAAAGAATACTATCAAGAGAGTAAAAAGACAACTCACAATAAAAAAAAAAAAATAGGCAACTCCCTGAATGGGAGAAAATATATGTAAACCATATATCTAAGGAAGGATTAATATTCCAAACATCTAAATAACTACTCAACAACAACAACAAAAAAACATATCAGTAATAGGCTAAGAACTTGAATAGACATTTCTATAAAGAATATACACAAATGACTATTGGTTGAATTTCACTGATGAAATAATGAAAAAATACTTAATGTTATAGTTGTTAGGAAAATGGAAATCAAAACCACAATGAGATACCACTTCACATCCACTAGTATGACTGTTACCCAAAAACTGAAAGTGACAAATGTTGGCAAGGATGTGGAAACACTGGAGCTATTTTGCATTGCGGGTGGCACTACTGGTGTAGCCACTATGGAAAACAGCGTGGAGAGTCCGCAATAAATTAAAAATGGAGCTGCCATACGACGTAGCAATTCTGCTTCTGGATATTTATCTGAAGAAAGCAAAACACTAATTTGGAAAGATATATGCACTCCTATGTTCATTGCATCATTACTAATAATAACCAAGATATGGAAACCAACCTGGGTAAAGATATAATGTGTATGTGCATACATACACAATGAGTATTACTTATCAAGAAAAAAGAATGAACTCTTGCCATTTGCAACAACATGCATGAACTGAGGGGGTGTTAGGCAAAGTGAAATAAGTCCGAGAAAGATAGATAACATGATTTCACATATATATGGAATCTAAAAAACAAGGCAAATGAATGAACACAACAGAAACAGATCCACAGATAGAACAAGCTGATGGTTGACAGATGGGAGAGGGGTGGGAGGTGAGTGAAATTAAATAAATAGATAAACATAATAAATAAAAATTTAAAATGGTACAGTGCCACTGAAAACAGTTCGATGGTTCGATGGTTCCTATAAAAGTTAAACACAGAATTACCATTGTGATCTAACTGTGCTGCTTTCCTGTCTATACCTAAAAGAACTGAAAGCAGACATTCAGAACAAATACTTGGATACATATGTTCATAGCAACATTATTTACAGTGGCCAGAAGGTAGAAACCACCCACATATTCATCAACAGATGAATGAATAAATAAGGTGGTATATACATATAATGGAATGTTATTTATTTGTCCTCAAGTATTAAATTCTGATACACGTTACAACATGGATAACCTTGAAAACATTTTACAAAGTGAAATAAGCCAGATGCAAAAGGACATATATTGCATAATTCCACTTAAATGAGGTACCAAAAATAGGCAAATTCAGAGACTCAAAGGAGAATACAGTTTACCAGGGGCTGGGGTGAGGAAGTGGAGTAGGGAGTTATTCAGTGGGTACAGAGTTTCTGTTTGGGATGGTGAGAAGGTTCTGAAAATGCACAAGAGTGGGCAAACATACATTTATAATTGTGAGTATGCAAAACACCTAGTTTATTCTTGCATTATTATTTATTTATTGTATTTTCCATACAAACAACTGTAAAGCTACTTTTGCCCCCTCCTATATAATGGTGATGGTTAGGCAGCATTGTGAATATACTTTAATGTCAATGAACTGTACACTTAAAATGGTTAAGACAATAGATTTGGTATATTATGTATGTTTTGAAAAGGAACTCAAAATGGATCATAGACCTGAGTGGGAGACTAAAACTACAAAACTGTTAGAAGGAAACATAAAAGTAAATCTTTCGACCTTGGATTAGACAGTGATTTCTTAGGTATAATACCAAAGTACAAACAAGAAAAGAAAAAACAGATAAATTAGACTTCTTCAAATTTAAGAACATTTGTGTTTCAAAGGACACCATCAAGAAAGTGAACTAACAGCCCACAGAATGAAAGTATTAGATTGAGAGAGAATATTTGCAAATCATGTATCTGATCAGGGAATTACATCTAAATTATATCAAGAAGTACAATTTAACAAACAAAAAAAAGGACAAATAACCTAATTAAAAATTGGGCAAAGGAGTTGAATAGACATATCTCTATTCAATATCCAATATTCAGTATTTTCTCTATATGTTGGCCAATAAGCACTTGAGTTATCAAGGAAATGCAAATGAAAACCACGAGATGCCACCTCACACCAGTTAACAAATTAGGAAACTCAGTTTTTTTCCTCTTTCTGAGCATGTCTGTGAATGATTTTGAAAGCACCATTACTGTTGGCTGTGGGGTTACAAGGAAATTTTAATGAGTAGGCAAATTCACAAGTATGGAATCCATGAACAATATGGGTTGACTGTACTTCTTTAAAGGGCAGTAATTGAGAAGAGCTTGCTTCTGTCTTAGTTGTTCTAAGTCTCACAACAGATCAGCCAAATCGCTCATTTATAACCTAATCTGTTCACCCAGCTACATATTTAGCATAAAATAAAATTTCACAGGTGATTCTGATAATGGGTCCAGGGGTGAATTGACTGCAGTGTTCCAGTCTCTCAGTTTTATACATGAGCTAACAGATGGAATAACCCATCCTGGGTGTCTCATAGGGGAGGAAGAAAAAGGGGGACTTGTGGAAAAGATTGATGATGTAGTTAAACGTGATACTCGCCTCCCCCCACAACCGCAAAATTACAGCTAAACTATAGAACAACCATCATTCAGAACCACCGAAAATTGGACTGAATGGAAGACCAACTAGGGAATTAAAGAAGACACATCAAGGCTGGTAGAAGAGGCGGAGATGCAGAACTGGTTGGTCCAACACCCGCGTGTGGCAGAAAAAAATTGGGAGGGATATCTCAGCTGCAGGATCCCCATTGAGGAGCGAGAGTTCCCAGGCCCACACCAAGCCGCTGAGCCCAGGGTTCTAGTGCCAGGAAGAAAAGTCCCCATAACTTCTGACTGTAAAGACCAGTGGGAACTGAGGCTGGAGGAGACAGAAGGCTCCTGGAGACCTTGTTAGTTTCTCCCAAAAGGCCTGTGCATGAACCTACTCCAACTCTCTCAGAGCTCCAGTGCTGGGACCTCAGCTCGAAAGGCGTCAGAGACATAGAGTGAGGAACAGAGTTGTCTGGCATTAGGGTGAGAGCCGGGGGAAGGGGCAGCTTTCTGTCAGGCAGAAGTGCTAAGAGAGGCCAATGTTTTTTTTGGTGAGCCCTCCCCCCACAGAGTTGGCAGGTGGGCTTCCTATCTGGAACTCCATCTACTTGGTTCACACTGGTGGCCCTGCCCTGGTGATTCCTTGAAGCCCTACCACACCTAAAAATCTGGTCCACCCAAGCTGTTTCTAGTGGCTTTTTCACCTGAATGGCCTGTCTTCGATCGTGCTTCAGATTTTCCTGAAATCTCTCCAACAAGCAGCATCTCGCCTCAGTGTGCCCTATACCTCTTGCTACATGCCTTCAGGCCCCACCCTAGCAACAGTGGGCCTTGGGTTCATCTGGGCACCTCCAATCCCAGCACAAGTAGCAGCCATCTGCAGATTGCTTTGTAGCTCATGCTGGGTGGCCCCAGGCAGAAAACAGACAGATGGCAGCTGACCTTGGCCTGCACCTCCCATGAGCTTCCAGAGCCTTCACACGCAGTGGACAGCTTTAGACGACATTAAAGCATCACCACCCAACCACCTCCACAAGTGAAACACTCAAGGGATGGACTTGGCAGGCACCAGAGCTCCACTGAAGTCCTGCTCTGTGTGGTGGGCCCTGGCACAGCTGATTTCTCCACTGTTTGGTGGTCAGTGGTCAGTGGTTGCAACCAGTCCTTGTAGCTGATTGCCCTGTAGGTAAATACCTCCCATTAATGTGCCAACAGCAATACAGGCTCAACTACAAGAGGAGTGTGTACACAGCCCACATGGGGGTTGGAGGCGCACCTTGAGAGCCTAGCTTGGGTGATTGAGGAGGCTGTGCCCCAGAATCCTACAGAAAACCAACTACATTAGGCCACATATCAAGCCTGGGAGATGTAGCAGCCCAACTTAATACATAAAAGCAAACATAGGAAAGCTGCCAAAATGAGGAAACAAACATGTCCCAAATGAAAGAACAGAACTCCAAAAAAATAACAAAATGGAGGTAGGCAATCTACTAGATGCAAAGTTCAAAACACTGGTTATAAGGATGGTCAATGAACTTAATGAGAACCTCAACAGTATAAAAAGGACCAGTTATAAATGAAGAATAATTTACAGGGAATCAACCATAGAGAGGATGAAGCAGAGAATCAAATTGGCAATTTAGAATGAAGCAAAAAGCACCCAATCAGAACAGCAAAAAGAAAAAAGAATTAAAAAAAAAAATGAGGATAGTGTAAGGAGCCTCTGAGGCAACTACAAGTGTACAAATTCCTATCATGGGAGTCCCAGGAGGAAAAAGAGAGACCAAAAAATTGAAAACCTATTTGAAAAATGACAGAAAACTTCCCTAACTTGGTGAAGGAAATAGACATACAAGTCCAGGAAGCCCAGAGAGTCCCAAACAAGATGAACCCAAAGAGGCCTTCACCAAGGCACATAAAATTAAAATGCAAAATGTTAAAGACAAAGGGAGAATCTTAAAAGCGGCAAGAGAAAAGCAGTTAGTTACTTTCAAGGGAGCTCCCATAAGGCTGTCACCTGATTTTTCAACAAAAAAATTTGCAGGCCAGAAGGGGTTGGCAAGGAATATTCAAATGGGTGAAAAGCAAGGATCTGCAACCAAGATTAGTCTACCAGCAAAGGTATCATTTAGAATCAAAGGCCATATAAATAGTTTCCCAGATGAGAAGAAGCTAAAGGAGTTCATCACTATCAAATCAGTATTACAAGAAATGTTAAAGGCTCTTCTTTAAGAAGGAATAAAAACCCTGACAGGGTCGCTCATTTGGTTAGAGTGTTGTCCCTATACGCCAAAGTTGAGGATTTGATCCCTGGTCAGGGCACATACGAGAATCATGCAATGGGTGCATAAACAAGTTGAACAGCAAATCGGTGTTTCTTTCTCACTTTCTGTCTGTCTGTCTCTCTCTCCTCTCTCTCTAAAATTAATAAAATTAAAAAAATTTTAAAGATAAAAATATGAACAAGAAGATGGCAGTAAATAATACATATCTATCAGTTTAATCTAAAAAAAAAAAAGAAGAAGCAGAATAGAAACAGACTCATAGGTATAGACATTTTGATGGTTGCCAGATGGGAGAGGGTTTGGGGGAAGGATGAAGAAGGTTGAAGGGATTAGGAAGCACAAATTGGTAGTTATAGAACAGTCCTGGGGATGTAAAGTACAGCATAGGGAATATAGTCAGTAATCTTCTAATAACTAGGTATGGTCAGGTGGGTGCGAGATTTTTGGAATGATCTCTTAGTAAGCTATTCAATACCTAATTACTGGAGTGTCCACCTGAAACTAATATATATGTCAACTGTAATTGAAAACTTAAAATGATTTTAAAATAGGGGGGAAAAGAAAGGCTAATAACAAGTATTTGCCAGGATATGGAGAAATTGGAACTCTCATACACAGCTAGTGGGAACGGGAAACAGTTCAGCCACTATGGGAAATAGTCTGTCAGAGCTTCCAAAGTTAAAGATAGAGTTACCATATGACTCAGCAGTTCCACTCAATAGGTATATACTCAAGAAAATTAAACACAGTCTACTAAAAAATGTTTACATGAATGTTCATAACAATGTAGCCAAGAAGTCGAAACAACCCAAATGCCCAGCTTTTGATGACTGGATAAACAAAATGTGGTATATCTATAGAATAAAAAGAATAAAGTACTGGTAGATGCTTAAACATGGATAAATCTTAAAACAACATGCTAAGTGTAAGATATCAGTCAAAAAGTACCTCATATTGTGACTCCATTAATATGAAATGTCCAATATAGGCAAATCCAGAGACAGACAGACGGGAGGCTGCTTAGAGCTGTGGGAGTGGGCAGGGCAATGAGGAGCTACTGTTAATCAGTAAGGGTTTTGTTTTGGGGATGATGAAAAAGGTCTGAAGTTAGGTAGTGGTGATGGTTGTACAACTCTGACTATGTCAAAAATTGCTAATTATGTCTTCTACAAGGGTGAATTGTATCTCAGTAAAACTTGTTAAATTACTTTTAATTTTAAAGAAGGGAGAAATCTAAACAGTAGAATTTTTCTATGGCAGCTAAAGTAAATAGTTAATTATTAAAATTATTATTGGTATATTTTTTATAAATATAATGAACTGTAATTTTTTTTAATAAAAAACAAAACAGTACACTAGACAGATTCTAACAGAAGGTTCTCAACCTTCACCAGTACACTAGGTTGAGAGCCCTCATAATCCGCCACCACCCACATTTCCTTCCCGCTTTGCTTCCTTCTCAAGAAGGGAATTTCATTCCTAAGCAAGAATACATTTGAATCCCGAGAAGCTCATCTGAGGTGGTCAGTTAGCATGCTTCTGATTCGCTTGATTCTGTAGTCCCATAACCAGAGGCACTGGCGGGTGCCTTCCTTAGGAGGGAGTACCTGCTTCGGAGTGACAGTCTGTCAGTGGACTGTTTTATGCCTATGTAAAGACAGTATTCTTGTGTGTCATCTTAGTTGCCTTTTTTTTTTTTGTTAATGAATGTTTCTTTGGATGGCTTCCAGGTCTCTAAGCAAGAACATAAAGCAGGATTCTGAATTGTTGTCTTTAACCTAAGAAGCAGAGTGCTTGTGCTGCTCTGAGTGCTTGCAGATCAATACTTTCTAATTGGGAGGCTTTTACACAGTAACAGTTAGCTTGCAGTAAATACTTAAATCAGTTACACAGTAACATTTACCTTTTATACGGTAACAGTTTGCAGTAAATACTTAAATCAGTGCTCCTTTGATCTCTTTGAACACACACAGACAGTGCTATTCTAGTGGAGGTGGCTTCTCTGTAAGTATGGGCATGATTGCTTATATCAGTGTTACGTATTTGGAACATCTTTAACAATCAAGTTTTGTTTACAAAATATTTATTTCTTCTTTCAGATGTTTTTATACCTATGCCAGAGAACTTATTAGTAAACTTAAATGAAAGTAAAGAGGTAAGGCACATTTTCCTATCTGACATGTTTAATTGTAATATTGAAGGAATATATTTTTGAAATGAACGTTACGTAAAAATTTGCTTTTTCTGTGACATTTCTAAGATGTGTAGTATTTTATATTTTGCTGTTAATTAAAACTCATCAGAAAAACCGCTCTTGAGTTTGCCCTTGAACTGATTGCTTTTAAGTCTAATGTAGCAAGATATTTGTAGTAGGGTAGAAGATGAGCATCTTCCATTAAGGAGGAAAACCTGAAGGAAACCTGCCTTGGCGGCCGTTTGGGAAGCTGGGAGGGTTGCTGAGATAAGCTTCTGGTCACTGCATAGAAGCACTTTAGCCAGGCTGCTTTCAGTGCCCTTTGCTTTTCTGATTCACAGAGTGTCATTGGGGTCAGTTCAGAAGAAACTCTTATTACCTGCCTGGAAATTGCCATGACATAATACAGTGAGAGGTGAACAGAATGTGTCTGAAGGGGGGATGTTGTCTACCCTGTACATGCATATATGCCGTAGGGTAACATTTTAACTAGCAAGTCTATGGTCTCAGCTGTCGGCAATGGTGACTTCGCCATAGTGGGATGTATTTTTTTCCCATTAACTCTCTTTATTTGTACAACCTAACCTGAATAGGCAGTTGTTTTTCGTTTTGTTTTTCTTTTGTTGTTATTATTACTAGTTGGCAAATTTACTGGATATCTTAGATTTTGCAGTAGGGAAGAGTTAAACTCTCTTTGGAACTGAAAAGAATACAGTGTGTAGAGGTGATTGAGAAGGCCATATTTCATGGCGTTAAAATGAATCTAATCCGCGATGGTTCTTTTGGATACATTTTGGACTTATAGTCTTGCTGGAGTACTGCATGTGCAAGAACTATAAGGCCCCAATTTTTATTTGTCTTGCTTGCCAATTTATAATGTTTATTTAAAATAGCTTTCTTGTCATTTGACCAACTTCACTGTTTACTGTACTGTCTGTACATTCTCTGACCATCATCATGACTCAATGTCTTGTCTAAATTAGTTACTTTTTGTTAAAAAAAAAATTGTTTTTAATTGTAACACTCTTGCGTTTTCTTGCTTTATTTCACAAGCTTGTCCAAGATTTACTGAAAACTTTGCCACAAATGTTCACCAAGACCCTGGAGACCCAGAGTGCCTTGGGTCCTGCACTTCAGGCTGCGTTTAAGCTGATGTCCCCAACTGGCGGTCGAATGTCTGTCTTTCAAACCCAACTCCCAACTCTTGGCGTGGGAGCCCTGAGACCACGAGAGGAGCCCAACCACAGGTCATCTGCTAAGGTTAGAAGGTCCTCAAATCTGTGTTAAAATTTACGCTGGTGCTCTGTCTCTTTGACCACCCAGCTTATTTTTTATTTATTTTTCACTCGTGGAGAGGAGGGAATATGAGGAAATAAATAAAACATTTCTTTTTTATGTAGGCTTTTCTATTTCATTACATTATTTTCTACTTTACTCCCTCCTACCTTATTTTTGGATCTTTAGCAGGCCCTTAGCAACGCAGCCTGCCTTTGATGAGAAAGGTAGACTAAGAATAAGCTTGCTGGGACAGAGTAGAACCTGGGTGACCACTAAAAACTAGTTTAGTGTATTGACTACCATGTATTGCTTTTGAGCACCTTGTGTCTGTAAACTTAGCTTGAGATGTATATTTCTCAAAGGATGCTGAGAGGCCATATGTTATAATGATTATTGGCCCTGGAGTCAGACAGTCTGCCTCAGTTCGGCTGCTTTTTGGATGTATGAGCTTGAATAATGACTTAATTTGTTTGCCCCTTTGTTTCCTTATATTTATAAAGAGAAAATAATGATAGTTCCCACCTCTTAAGGGTAGTTAAAAGGACTAAATAGATATTACATGTGAATTCATTAGAACCATTTCCAGCATAGTAAGAATTTAATAGATTATTGAAGTTATATAATAGATTTCTTTTTAAAAGTAAAAAAAGAAAAAATTCTTAAGCAGTATGTTTTTTAATATTCCAAAGCAAAAGGATTTGTAGAATTCCCAAAGATTACTGTTAACTCCTGGGTATGTATAGCTAGAAATTTAAATTTTATGACAATTTAATGACGTAATTTTTTTTCTCTTTTTAATTTATCATTAATAGGAAATCCACTTGACACCATCCACTGACTTCTATAAGAAATTAGCCTTGGACTGTTCTGGTCAGCAGGTAGCCGTTGACTTATTTCTTCTCAGTGGACAGTATTCTGATTTGGCTTCTCTGGGTAAGTTTATCCTAATGATTATTTTTTTCAAATGAGTGTCAAAATGATATTCTATTGTTATTCTAAACAGAAGACAGAGTGAAATAAATTTTATTCCCTTGGGAGAGTTAGTCAGCTTCATCTGTTATAAACCCTGTAGGCTTCTACTCTAAGAATTTATGATAGTGACATTTCTATGCTACTATTTAAAGAAATGAAATAATCTTTTTTGGCAGTACCTGGGGAAGTTAAAGAAGGATTGATTCAAATGCCTATCATTACTTTGGTGCAGTAATAGTAGTTAATGGCAGAATTTAAAAGGAGTGTGTGTTCTCTTCCAGGTTGTATTTCTCGGTATTCAGCAGGCAGTGTCTACTACTATCCCTCTTACCACCATCAGCACAACCCAGTCCAAGTGCAGAAATTACAGAAGGAGCTACAGAGATACCTCACTCGGAAGATTGGCTTTGAGGCGGTCATGAGGATTCGATGCACCAAAGGTGGGGACGCCGTGTTTTACGTTTACATAGGAGAGTAATGTTGCTTTTAATACCACCAGTGAATATAAATGCTTTTACCTAGTCTTATCTCAAAATTTGCTATTCTAAGATATTTTACTCTGATAGAATATGCAATTAGAAATAAGAAGAAATATATATATTTTTAAAAGGGACTGTTTTGAATATACTAAAAACCACTGGATTATACACTCGAAAAGGTGACTTTTATAGTATATGAATTATATCTCAATGAAAAAAAATTACATACCCAAAGAAAATACAATATTACTGATGGATTTTTATTCCACTTAAACAATTATATTTTTAATTGCGGTAAAACATACATAACGTAAAATTTACCATTTAACCATTTTAAAGTGCATGGTTGAGTGGCATTTAGCGCATTCTCGCTGTGGGCAACCGCCGCTGTCCTCCATTTCCGTAAGTAGGACACCTTTGAACGTATGCTCTTCTCACCCTGCGCCTGCTGCTAACACAGTTTCACAGTGTTGCTTTGGAAATAGTCTGGCAGTTTCAGAATGTCTTATGTTCAATTTGTTTTTCATTATAAATATTTTGTGGCTGCTAAATGATAACTATTTTCTTATAAAAATAGGAAATTATAATTTTTCATACTTCTTTTCTCCACATTTTCAACATGGGCCTGATCTTTTATCCATATTTTGAAATATTACTGCTCTGAAGATGGTATGAAGCAATCATTTTTTTAAAGTGGAAAGATTATATGAAATATGCATTAAAAATAGATACTAAAAGATAAGGATCTACAAATCTATTAGGTAGATTTTGAAATCTATTGGTCAAACTATGTGCCAGATGAAGTAAGTGGTTTTTATCTATCACTGTAATAAAAAGAAAAAAGTGTTTGAGTGAAATAATGGAAAAGAAAACATGTAATTTCTTATATAAGGTATTGAATAAACACTTAAGAGGTTGCCACAGCTCCAAACAACTCAAAGTATTAGTATCACCCATAACCAATGAATTATCACAGTAGCTTTCTGTTTTCATTTTTTTTTTAATATAAGAGCTTTGTTGGGGTAAAATTTACATACTATACAATTCACTCACTTGAAGTGTGCAGTTCACTGGTTTTAAATATATTTACCATGATATTACCACAACCGATCTTAGAACACTTCCATTAGCCTTGGCTGGTGTGGCTCAGTGGATTGAGTGCTGGCCTGTGAACCAGTGTTGGCAGCTCGATTCCCAGTCAGGGCACATGCCTGGGTTGTGGGCCGGGTCCCCACTTGGGGGAGCTCAAGAGGCAACCAATTGATGTTTCTTCTCCACATTGATGTTTCAGTCCCTCTCATTCTCCCTCCCTTCCTGTCTCTCTAAAAAATAAATAAAAATTTTTAAAAAATTAACCCAAAGTAAATCAAAGACTTAGAATATAAGAGGCATAACTACAAAGCTCTTAGGAGACAGCATAAATATATAAATGTTCATGATCTTGGATTAAGCAGTGGTTTAATGCTATGACACCAAAAGCATAAACAGAAAGAAAAAAAAAATTGATTAATGGGAGATCAAATTAAAAACAATTGTGCTTCAAAGAGTACCATTAAAGAAGTGAAAAAGCAACCTACAAAATGGAAAAAAAATTGCAAATCATACATGTGATAGGAGTTTTCTGATAAAAATATTCAAAGAACTTTTACAACTCAGTAATAAAAAGACAAACCAAATTTTAAGATGGGAAATTAATCTGAATAGATAGTTTGCCAAAGGAGATATACAGGTAGCCAATTCCAGGGAAAAAGATGTTCAACATCATTCATCACTTGGGAAATAGAAATATTTCCCCGTTGGTTTTTACACCCAGAAGTTATGTAGACTTTATTCCTGGTTCTGGACCCCTGGGCTGGGGGGCCTGGTGTGGGGCTGGGACCTCTTGTTCCTGAGTATCGCTGCCAATTTTTATCTGTCACATGGTGCAGGCGTGGGACCAGCCCACTCCATGTCTCTGTCCCTCCTACCAGTCTCAGTATGGTTTCTGTAATTCTGTTGTTGTAGGACTTCCGTTCAGCTTGATTTCTCATGGTTCTGAATGATGGTGGTTCTATAGTTTCGTTGTGATTTTGATGTGGTTGTGCGAGGAGGCGAGCTGTTTATGCCATCATCTTGACTGGAAGTCTTATACTTTCCCTTTCATCCTGTCCTTAGATAGTCACTTGTCACATTGGTGTGTATTTCAGGCTTTTTAATACATTTACATACTTATGCACCTCTCCATGAAAAATATATAGTACAGTATATTCACATATGTGACATTCATGTTTTCAGCAAATCTTGAAGATACATTAATACTCATTTATATACCATCTCTCTCATTCTGTTAAATTTCTACTAGTATTTAGTAAAATATACAAATCACAGTTTAGTTACTTTCCTACTGATTGACACTGAGGATATTTCTAATTTTTTCATTATAACATAAAAACAGTACTTAAAATTTTTTGAATGTATAATTTGGCGCTTGAATGAGTGTACCTGTAGGATAAATTCTTAGATATGGAAATTACTAGGGTGAAAGTAAGTATTCATTTAGAATTTTAGTAGATACTGCCAACTTACCCTTCAAAAAAGTTTTTTGAAAATTTGAATCCTTTCCTTCACTTAAGATCTCTATTGCCCCTCCCTCGCCCTTACAAATACTGTGTATTGCCTAAGGCCATTCTGCTCCCAGTTCCAATGTGTGGGTTGCTTTTCCCCAACCACCAAGCAATTACCTCAGTTCTGACACTGTCTGCCTGGAGAGAGCATCAGATCCCACAGGTTAGGGCCCCCAACCCCCTTCACCCCAATACACGCATGCACTTGCTGATTTTAAGCCCGGGTTGTTGCCTGCACTTCTGATTGTCTGGTAATAGACTGGAAATTCCAAGGACCCCCTACTTGGGTTCCATTAATTTGCTAGAAAATTATTGGCTATTGGTGTGTGATTCAACCTCCAACCCCTCTAACCTCCCTTGGATGTGTGTTGAGCGAGGGGGGTCCACTGAAAGTTCCAACCCTCTAATCACATAGTTGGTTCCTCTGGCAACCAGCCCCCCACTGTAGATGACCTAGGTGCTTTCTAAAAGTGACCTCATTAACAAAGCAAAAGGCCCCTTTATCACTTTCATTACTTGGGAAATTCTGAGGGTTTTAGGAGCTCTGTGCCAGAAATGGGCAAAGACCAAATATGTATTTCTTATTACAAATCACAATATCACATCTAAACTTTTTTATTTACTCTCTGCCAGTTTGATCAGTAGCAAGGGTAAAACGTAAATATCTGTATGTAGGTGTATATAAATAATTGTGATAAATTTTTTTTTCCTAGGCCTTTCCATTCACACTTTCCATGGGAACTTCTTTGTTCGGTCGACCGACTTACTCTCTTTGCCCAATGTAAACCCGGATGCTGGGTATGCAGTGCAGATGTCAGTGGAAGAGAGTCTTACTGACACTCAGCTGGTTTCCTTTCAGTCGGCGCTCTTGTATACATCCAGCAAAGGTGAGTTGCTGATTTTTTTTATTGTAGCAAAAAACACATAACATGAGATCTATCTTAACAAATTTTTAAGTGTACAGTCCAGCATTGTTAACTTTGAGAACAATGTTGTAACAAAGGTTAACTTTTTTGATTTGGTCATACATTCTATGGCTTGTGATAAACTCTCTTCTTTGGAGATAATAGTATGTTATATAGTACTATTAAGTAAGGAGAAATATAAAGCAGGTTAATGTGTTTTGTCCTAAGGATGATGTGAAGGCTGGCTAAATTTAATTTTTTATTTTAAAGATTTACCACTCTCACCTACTAACTGTTTAACCTCCTTAAAAAAAAAAGTTTCAGGAGTACTGAGCTTCATAGCCCCTCCAAAATCAAAACAGCACACCATAAATATAAAAGATAGATTTCTGTTTCTTGATACATATTTTATAAGACAAAAAGAGAATGTCCCAGTCTCTTTTCTGCTTATTGATCATCCAAAATTTATAAAGAACTCAGGCGATCCTTCTCGTGTTTTTGTAGTCAGCCTCTCTCCCATCCCCAGCTCCTGGCAACCATTGATCAGTTTTCTGACCCTGTATTTTTGCCTTTGCAAGAATGTCATCTAAATGGAGTCATGCAGTAGGCATTTTTTGTACCTTGTTTCTTTCACTTAGCCTAGTGCATCCAAGATACATCTGTGTTATTGCTCCAATTAGTAGTTTGCTACTTTGTATTCCTAATTAATATTCCATTGTACCCAATTTGTTTATTCACTTTCCAGTTGAGGTCTATTTGGGTTGTTTCTGGCTTTTGGCCATTTCAAATAGAGCTCCTCTAAACATATTTACAGATTTTGTGTGAGCATAAGTTTTTATTTCACTTAGCTAAATAGCTAGGAGACAGATTGCTGGGTTGTATGTTAAGCGTATGTTTAACTCTTTGTGAACCAGAAGAACTGATTCCAAAGTGGCCGTACCATTTTGCATTCCCACCGGCAGCATATGAGAGTTCCAGATGCTTTCCATCCTCACCAGGATTTGCTGTTTTCAGTCTTTAGTTTTGGTTTTGGTTTTGGTTTGAGGTTTTTGTTTTTAACCATTTTAATAAAGTATAGTGGTTATCTCTTTTGGTTTTATTTTGTGTTTCCCTAATAACTAATGTTAGGTATCTTTTCATATACTTATTGTTAGAAGCTTAGGTTATTTTATGAAAAAAGTGATTATAATTTATATGTATGCACACAAATCTGTCATTTGTGATAATTTCCCTGAGATAGAGTCCTAGAACTGGAAATACAGAATGTGGAGATGAACTGTCTAAAAAGATCCTAGTATTGTCAGATTGCTATTCAGAAAGACTTTACTGATTTGTAGTCCCCTCAAGTGTCCTTTTCATTTCAGCCTTTATCTAGAAGAGAAGCTCTAAACAATGTTACCCTGTTATACAGACATTTCTTCTCTTTAAAAGTAATTTATGTGAGTTTCTTATATGCACATTTTCATTAGTCTTAGGTCATAATTTTCATCTTTAGGCTTTTGTTCTTTTTCTCTGGTGTTCAGGGTCTTGTTGATCAGAAATTTTTAAAAGGTTGACATGATGTTTTATATTTGATGGTTGTCAAATTTTTAAATTTTTGTTTCTTGTATTTATTGATTTTTGTTGTAGCTGAATTACCAAAGAGAAAATATTATGACTATTAGTGAGTTTTAAGGGGTTTTTTTCTGTGATTAAAGAGAAAAGTGTAAGATTTCTCTCTGGATTTGAATATCAACACAGACTCAAGTCCTGGCCAGGTAGCTGAGTTGGGTAGAGCATTGTCCCGATAGCCAAGGTTGCAGGTTCAATGCCTGGTCAAGGAACATACAAGAATCAACCAATGACTGCACAAGTAAGTGGGAACAGCAAATTGATATTTCTCTCACACACACGAAAATCAATAACTTAAAATCAGAAAAACAATAGACAGATTCAAGGCCTTGGCTGGGTAGTTCAGTTGCTTAAAACATTGTCCTGATATGCCAAAGTTGTGGGTTCAATTCCTGATCAAAGCACATACAAGAATCTACCAATGAATACATAAATAAAGTAGAACAGCAAATTGATGTTTTTCTCTCTCTCACTCTCTCTCTAAAAATCAATATAACAACACCCCCCCACCAAAAAAAAAAAACAGATTCAAGGACACATTTTGGAGTAGTGTTGTCATACATATTTGCATATATGTGAGTTCCTTGAATACACACACACAGTCAATTTTTGTTACAAAGTAGATAAATTAACAAAGAACTTCAGGAAAGAGATTTTTTTTAAAGCTAGCATGTTACCATCATTTGAATACCATCTCTATTGTCTTTTCAGCAATAAATTGAACAAAAAAGAATTTCAAAGTAAAAAAATAAAACTTTAGTTTTCACACTGAAGTTTTGATACTATCTCTACATACTATTTATCCCTATTTGGTTTTGAATTGAAAAGATGATTTTAATATAAACTTTTTAAATATAGTTGTCTCTTACTGTCATTTTTATGTTTTTCCTGAAGGTGAAAGGAGAATTCGTGTTCATACTTTGTGTTTGCCAGTAGTTTCAACTCTGAATGAAGTCTTTCTTGGAGCTGATGTTCAAGCAATTTCAGGGTTATTGGCCAATATGGGTAAGAATTGTTATCACCTATTTTAAATATTTTGCAGGTAATAACAGAAAAATCCACATAGTTTTGTCTTCATTTAAATAATTAGCTATAAGGGTTTCAGTGTTTTAGATCCTGTGTGTGCCTGCTAAATAACTATTTGAACAAAGGAACTGCTTCAGATAGCCTTATCTTTTAAATTTAAACAGCTTTATTGAGATATAATTTATATATTCTGTTGCTTAACCCATTTTAAGTGTACAGATCCATTGTTTTTAGTATATTTACAGAGTCATGTGGCCATCACCTCAATCTAATTTTAAAGTATTTCTGTCACCCCCAAAAGAACCTCGTGTCCCTGAACCGTCACTGCCCACTTTCTCCTCCTTCTCTCCTTGGCCTTAGGCTACACTAAACTGCTTTCTGCCTCATAGTCTGCCTACTGTGGATTTAAATAACCACTTTTGACTTAATGTTTGATATTAGTAGTTAATAGCTTTTTATGAGCTCTGTAGCTTAGATTACAAGACACAGTGTACTGTAAATATCATTAGCCTTGGAGTCATGGAATTTGGGATTGCAGACCTGTTACTATCACACATAAGTTTGCAGCCTTGGCCAGATCCCATGGGCTAACAGAAAATTTATTAATATCTTTGTGTCAGTTGCCTTCTTGAGTCTTTTTGGCCCCTTTCTCAAGCACATAGAACTTAACATCATTTTAGTTCTTGCTCTTTTTCTCCTTCAGGGAAGCCACTGAGTCCATTTGCTTCAAACTGAAATCTGCCTCTAATTGGGATATTTACCCACTTTCTTTCATTTCTTACTGGGAAACATTTTCTTTAATGGAGCCTGGTAAAGGGTCCAAACCCACGCTAATATTCTCACATATTGTTAAAAGTTAAAGGTTACGACCGAAGAAATTTGAGAGTCACCGCTTTTATTTTTGTTGAACTAATACTTTTTTGGTAATAGTATTATCATTATAAGCATCTTTAGTACTATCACCATCTATAATATATTATCAGGCAGTGTTATGGATTTTTAAAAAAAGTCTTCACAACAATTTTCTTTACTGTTACTACATTGGTTGATCCTAATATGTACATTTTTCACTTTTTATTAAAATCAGGATGTCTTAAATGAATGAAGTCTTAGAGTTATTGCTGAGCAGGTAGCAGTAGTCTTCATTCTTTCTTGCCTAGTACAAATTTGGTCATAGCAGTTAATAACATCACTTAATTGGGTATATTTTTGATACCACATGAATTGAATTTAGTTGTAGTTTGAGAGGTTTTCAAAACAAGTATAGCGTTTTCAGTTTTGAAAAAAAATTTTGAGTGTGCAGAATGCATATAAACAGTAAGTAGCATGACCGATGTGAACATAATTAATCCACTACAAGCTCTTTTAATAAGTATAAGAAAAATTCTCTGTATTAAAAAAGGATGGGCCATACGGCCCTGGCTGGTGTGACTCAGTGGATTGAGCACTGGCCTATGAATGAAAAGGTCGTAGGTTCGATTCCCAGTCAGGGCATATGCCTGGGTTGTGGGCCAGGTCCCCAGTAGCAGGTGTGTGAGAGGTAACTGATTGATGCATCTCTCATGCATTGATGTTTCGCTCCCTCTCATTCTCCCTCCCTTCTCCTCTCTCTAAAAGTGAATAAATAAAATCTTAAAAAGAAAAAAAACACATGTATGTTTAGCCCTGGCTAAGTAGGATTGGAGCATTGTCCTGACATGTCAAGGTTGTGGTTTTGATCCCAGGTCAGGGCACATACACATACAAGAATGAGTGAACAAATTCATGGATAAGTGGAACAATGAGTTGATGTTGGTCTCTCTCTCAAAAATAATAATAAATAAATAAATAAAAATGCATGTATAATTGCAGACTTTTTCTTTCTCAGTGGTATATAAAATAAAATAGTGAATTACAATTAATAATATCTTAATTGAATGAAATGCAGTTTTCCCACTTTACTGATAAGGCAACTGAGGCTTATGAAGGTTACATTACTTGCCAAATTGTCATACAGCTAGGAAATAGCAGAGCAGCATGTCAGCAGACATTGGTTTGCTTCTCCAAAGTATCTGCTTTTAACTGTTGTGTTTGGTTCCTTGCACACATAATAAATTGGAGAGAGAATTGGTATAATTTAAAAACTTATTTTTTCTGTTCTGCGGGGTAGTCAAACCTCTCTTCTATTTTTCTGTTGTCTCTCCCCCCGCCTCCGTTAGCTGTTGACAGGTCTGTGACCGCCAGTCTGAGCGATGCTCGGGACGCGCTAGTGAATGCCGTCGTAGATTCTCTCTCCGCCTACCGCTCTTCGGTTCTGAGTAACCACCAGCCTGGGCTCATGGTTCCTTTTTCTTTGCGGCTTTTTCCACTCTATGTGTTGGCTCTCCTTAAACAGGTAAGAGAATCAAAACCAGAAAGTAATGCATTGAAAATGTCAAAAGGCAAAGTATTTATCCTCTGAACCCCTAAACACTGTGTATATAACTTTTTGCCAACTAAGTTTTCTGAGGGCAAGGACCTTAACACTTAACACCTGACATACCATGTTTTGTTTATTGTTTACTTCTCCCTTACTATGATTTTTGTCCATGAGCACAGGATTTTTATCTTTTTCATTCATCACTTTGTCCCAGCACCTAGAATCGTCCCTAGTACATCGTAGGCACTCAGTAAGTATTTTTTGAACGAATAAATGGAACTTCCCTTCTTCCATTTCCCATAGTGCTATTTCTTCTTTCTTAGTGATTATCCCACATACCAATTTAAAATATCTTAAGAGCCTTTTAAAAATCTCCCTTTATTTATAGTTAATGTGTTTTACAGCATAATTTCATTACTGCTATCTCGCTGCCTGTTTTTACTCCTTTCCATCACTAGGAATGCTTAAAACCTTACCTCAAAACTTCATTATTCTCTGCTGTGACTGTCGTTGCTCAGTGGGTTGGGCACCATCCCGTAAACTAAAAGTCACCGGTTGGATTCCCAGTCAGGGCACATGCCTGGCTTGCAGGCCAGGTCCCCAACTGTGGGCGTGCAAGAGGCAACTGATCAATGCTTCTCTTGCACATCTATGTTTCTCACCCTCTCTTTCTCTCTCCCTTTCCCTCTCTCTAAAAAGTAAGTAAAACCTTTAACAAAAAAAAAACCAAACACAAAACTTCATTATTCTCCATGAAGCTAATATATCAGTTAAAACTCACAATTACCTATTAAACTCTGTTCTAAGTAATTGTACTTATGTGAATTATTATTTTTCTTGGTTGATATGCAAACTTTGTACATTGTTTAATTTTTCTAACTGTGGGAGAAACAAAGATAGTTAACCACCATTAATCTTCACCTGTATTTACAGACCGCTTAGATCTTTGGTTCTTCATATGTGTATTTATTTTATTTTGTTTTGTTTTGTTTTTTGTTTTATTTTTTCATATGTGTATTTAGTTTGTCATCTGTAGTATAACTTTACCCTTGCCGTGGTATTTGTTTTTATATCACTATCACTATATGGTAGATAGAGTATTGAGATCCATTTCACTGATTAGGAAACAGACACCAGAGAGGTCAAATGACTACCATGTTAGGTAATTAATTTCTCAAGACGTAGGTGGGGATAGAGCCACAATTTAGTACCTGTGTGCGATTTCTTAAAAGATATTTATAATAGCAAATTTGCTAATCTTGTCCAAAGATATTCTTTTAACAACTGATACTTGCAAAGTTTTACAAGTATTTTTTAAGTACTTTTCCTTTTGGTTGGGTGTTTTTTTGTTACAGAAATCATTCCAGACCGGGACAAGTGCACGTCTAGATGAACGCAGTTTTGCTATGTGTCAAGTGAAAAACCAGCCTTTGGTTTACCTTATGCTCACAACTCATCCCAATTTGTACCGAGTTGACAATCTTTCAGATGAGGTAAGATTAATTCATTTTTTAGTGGCTTTTACTTGAAGGTTTATGAACCTAATTTTATTTAGTCCAATGCAGAAATGAAGAAAAAAATTTTAAGCTTTTTATTTTATTCCTTTATTAGATCTATGAAGAGAAATTTTGGTTTTGGGAAACTCCTGAAAATAGTGCTTTTATTTATCTCTAGAGCAGATCTAAGTAAATGAAGAGATTGTCAGATTGACCAGAGCAACCTATGATTCATTTATTTAAACAAATTGATCTGAAAGAGCATCCTGAGACTCAAAATACATCTAAACACCCCAGGTCAATGTTCAATGTAATGGTGCTCTTAAATTAAAGAAAAAAATATTTATCTAAGTTGTCACATTATTTGTCCTCTTTAGGAAATTTATCTGAGTTAAAATCCCAAGCACAAAAATGTTAAATCATAATCTTTCTTTATAAAATAGTGATCAAATTAGTGTGTGTGTGTGTGTGTGTGTGTGTGTGTGTGTAGTAATATTTTGGTTAAAACCTTTCAAAGTTTAAAGAGTTTAAGATATCTTGCGTACAGAAGGAAGAAATGCCTATGAAATTTGTGGTAACTTTTAGCAAATGAAAACTGTTGAAAACACTATTAGTTTGTATTGCATAAATAATAACTCAAGATTAATCCTGTGTTTGACAAGTCCAAATAATTGGGCCTACCTTTCTTCACATTAAAAATTGGCAAATTAATGTAAAAATATAAATGCAATATATTTTCTGTCTGTAATATGTCTATAATAATATGGAAGCCACCAGAAAGGAAAGGTAGAAAAACACTCAATATTTACATTAGAAGACAAGCACTATTAGCATATCAGCGTGTATTTGTCAGGACGCGGGCTCAGGAAGGAGAGCATGCTGATGGCGCTACCCTATTCTTTTCTGCAGTTTGTGTAACCACAAAAAAGGGTAGAGTAGAGCTAGTCTCAGGTTTAGCTCAAATTCAGACTCTGTGTTGCCTCAACCCTTCAGATCAGTCTTCTCTACAAGAGTAGAGAACAATCACTAATGTCTTCCCTTCTTTCCCACCAGAGAAAGACAATGCTCTCTTTTCTTAGTTCATATTATAAGACCTCTAGGCGGGGTTTCTGATGGGTCACATTTGGTTTACAGTCTCTCCTGCCTCCCCCGCTGCAGCCCTGCGGCCAGAGGTCTTACAAATAAATAGTTGTCAATATTTAAAGGAGTGTGTGTGCTTTCAGATAACAGTATATAAATGGGAAACTTCTATTTCTGGCCTTAATAAATAATAACCTATTGAACTCTTGTTTGCATTGCGCTCTTATCCCCCTTCAGGATGTGCACAGGACCCATGCCATGCAGTCAGCCGTGATTAACTAAATTCCAGGCTGTATGCGAATCTCACTAATTTATTTATCTGTTCAGGATACATGGATATCGATTGCATTTATGATATTAGTTTTTAAAATAATAGAAGATCAGAAGTTATATCGGCCTTATTGGGATTACACAGTAGCTTTGTTGCAATAAATGATAGATATTTTTCTTTACCTTTTTTTATATTTAAGTATGACTAATTGTGAAAACATTTTTTGGTTAATTGTGACTCCAAACTACCTGTCTCGGAAAGTTTTGATCTTGTGTCTTCATTCCTCAGGGAGCCCTCAACATCAACGATCGAACTATACCTCAGCCGCCTATTCTTCAGCTTTCAGTGGAGAAGCTGAGTAGGGATGGGGCTTTTCTCATGGACGCAGGCTCTGTGAGTAGCCTGGCTGACTCCAACCCTTCAGTCTGTGCTCTGCTGCCCCTTTATTACCCTTACTGTCTCTCTTCCTGAACGGATTATATATATGCCGTTTAATCTATATGTTTTTGTATTAGCCGCTTTCTCCTCCATAGCTTCCTTTCATACCAAGCATAAAATGTCTCATCGTAGTAAATAGTAGTTATTATTAGTTTAGTTGAAAGCTATACATTATCACTAAACTTACTGATCATTTTGATCTTTTAAAGCATTCTCAGTGGGAAAGATGAGTCAACAACTCATTCTTAATCTTCATCTCAAAGTGATTTCCTTCCTGTCCCCAGGTGCTGATACTTTGGGTTGGAAAAAATTGTGGACAGAATTTTCTCAGTCAAGTTCTAGGAGTTCAAAGCTATGCATTAATTCCACATACTATGGTAAGACTATCTCAGAGTGATTGTAATGGACTTAAAGGGCATTAAAATGGGGCAAAAAAAATGAGAAGCCCATTTTGAAATCATACCATAATACTAAAAGTTTTTCCAAAAGAGAAAATGTTCCCGTAGATTGTTTCTCTTTCAATTGAAAATACTCATTTTATGTTTTAAAGGCATTATTATGTTACTTTGACCACTGACTTACCTTTTTTCAATATTTTTTTAAATTTTTCAATTACAGTTAACATACAATATTATGTTTCAAGTATACAACATAGCGATTAGACATTATATAATTTACGAAGTGATCATCCTAATGACTGATCTGTTCTTATGTGTCTGATATCATATTATTCTTTCAGAGAAAGTAATGGATTTCATTGATAGCAAAAAGAAAAGAAAAAAATAACTTGCTGCTGTTGGCATTAGTGTTACGGCTTTTTTGGTTGTATGTGTTTTGGGCATGTGATTTCATCGTTCTTTGCTAGGGTTCTTTTAACTCCTGCTTTGGAGTGAGAACGAAGATAATTGTCACACACACAAATGACTTGTGATCAGGGTCAGTTGGATTGCAATTGATTATTGAAGAAAGTAATAATAGATTCTCTATCACCAGCTCTGTGAGTTTGGACAGGTAACTAACAGTCACATTTGTAAACTAAGAATGTTGTTGCTTAGGGAAGAGTGATTGAAAATAATCCATGAGAAATCATTTGTTAAACTATATTGCATTTGGATAAGTTTAAATTGAAAAGTGAGAATTAATTATAATATGGTCTTATTTAGTGTCATGTATTGTTAGTTCCTATGAGTTTGTCAGCAACTTGGATGTATGTGTTTCATGTCAGCATTTTTTCATATTTATTGGTTTAACTCCATTCATAGAAGTCATTAGGAGATTCTTGTATTTAAAAACATGTCAGACCTTGGCCAGGTAGCTCAGTTGGTTAAAGCATTGTCCTGATACACCAAGGTTGTGGGTTTAATCAGGGCAATACAAGAAACAACCAATGAATGCATCAATAAGTGGAACAATAAATCGATGTTTTCTTCTCTCTCTAAAATCAATACATTTAAAAAATTTTTAAATAAAAACATGTCAGGATTATAGCTAGGATTAGCACTAGCTTTCAGGCTTTGAGTAAAACTAGTGGTCTGAATGACTAGACATTTTAATGAGGAGCTAAGATACGGTCATATTTGTGACAACTGCCCAAATGAATCAGTTAGCTCTAAATGTCATGATAAAAGGAAGGGAAGAGTTAGGACGTTCTTCTACATCAGAGCTCAGCAAACTATGCCCAGGGGAGTCTGCCACCTGTTTTTTGTTTATTTAATTTGTTGATTTTGGGGAGAGAGAAGAAAGTGGGTGAGGGATGGGGGGAGGGGAGAGAGACAGGCATTGATTTGTTACTGCACTTATTTATATATTCAGTAGTTGATTCTTATGTGTGTCCTGACTTGGGATTTAACCCGTACTTTGGCTTTCAGGGTGATGCTGTAACCAACTGAGCTACCCAGCCAGGGCTCTGATTTTGTAAATAAAGTTTTATTGGAACATAGCCATGTTCAGTCACATCTATATTGTCTGTGGCTACTTTAGTGGAACAATGATAGGGTTGAGTAGTTGCAACAGAGACTAAATGACATGTAGGCCTAAAGTATTTACTCTCTGGCTCTTCAAGAAGTTTGCCCACCCCTTACTAGGAAATTGTGGTGTGCAGAATTTCAAGCCCCTCCCCAGACCTCCTACATCCATATCTGTAGGTTCGGTAAGATCCCCGGGTAGTTTGTGTGCAGTAGTCCTCCAATTACCTGTGGTTTTGCTCTCCATGGTTTCAGTTAACCACAGTCAACCATAGTCTGAAAATATTAAATAGAAAATTCCAGAAATAAACAATTTATAAATGTTATATTGCACACTGTTCTGAGTTACTTGATGAACTCCCACACTGTCTCTCTTCATTGCCTGGGACGTGCATCATCCCTTTTCCAACGTATCCATGCTGTACACACCACCTGCCCATTAGTCCCTTGGTCGCCGTCCCAGCTGTCAGGTTGACTGTCAGGGCATCAGAGTGCTTGTTTTCCAGTAGGCTGTTATTCTACTTAGTAATGGCGCCGAAGTGCCAGAGCAGTGATGCTGGCAATCTGGATATGCAAAGAGAAGCTGTAAAGTGCTGCCTTCCTTTAAGTGAAAAAGTATGTACGTATGTATGTATGTATGTATGTATGTGGAAAACATGGGATTCCCTGTGAAATTACAGGGACTACCTGTGATTTCAGACATCAGCTGGGGGTCTTGGAATGTATCTCCCATGGATAAGGGGGAACTACTGTACAGGATAAAGTTTGAGAATCACTGTAGATGATACATATGATTAGAGTAAATTGGATATTGCTGGTTTCTGTTTAATAGACAGACCTTCCGGAACTTGATACACCAGAATCTGCCAGAACTATAGCTTTCATCTCTTGGCTTAGAGAACAGAGACCATTTTTCCCAATACTTTATGTAATAAGGTAAGTTGAATTTTCATTTGCTAATAGGGAAACAGTTTGACTTTGCAAATACTTATTTTGAGTCATATGTGACCTATTGCTTAAGCAAACCTTTTAGAAGAATATAGAAAGAAAAAAGAAAATAACGTTCAAACATTGAATTATGCTTTACATCCAGTTATAAGTAAAAAGTATGTCAAAAGCATTGTGACAAATCCTGTGTTTATTTTACTATTACATTTTATCTAATGTATATAAATGTTTTCCTTTTATTCCTAAGGGATGAGAGTCCAATGAAAGCAACTTTCCTTCAAAACATGGTAGAAGACAGAACAGAATCTGCTTTATCATATTATGAATTCCTCTTGCATATACAACAGCAAGTGAATAAGTGAACACGTGAAGATACTTGGCTTAGTTATTTCTAAGGAAATACCTTCCTTTCTATTAGGTTTTTGTACTGATGTGATGATTACATGTTCTCACTGTGATTTCAACAAACTATAGCAAATAAAGGACTACAGCAGAGAATCAAACATGCAACTCTGAAATACTGTACTTTTCAAATCAGAGTATATATAAATATGATTGGATATTATTTTTCTTTGCTGCCAATTATGTTTGAGTTGTTAAGAATTCAAATAAGATGAGACAATATTGCAGAGGCAAAGAACATTTTGTAAAATAAAGACTTCTGTGTTCCAAATGTATATTTCTCCCTCTCTCTCTCTCTCTCTCTCCTTCTCTCCTCAATTTTTGGCTGCTACATTTAAAACCTCACAAGACCATGTGTTGCAGGGAAGTTACAACTCCATTGATAATGGTCTTTCTAAAATTAGAAAAAAATGTCAGAAGTAAATAGTACATAGAAAAGCTAGAATCTATTTCCCCCTACCTGTTGTTTTCTTAATTAAGGAAAAAAAAGGATCATCATGTTAACTAAAACTAGAGTAAACTAACTCTAGTCCAGCCTGAAAAGAAGATTATGAAATAACAGTCAAGCTTTAAAATCTGTCAGTATTTTCTGTACTTGAACAAAATCACCTTGATTTGATGTGAAAACTAATTGAATGGTTTTCTGATTTGACTGCAAAAGACTTGGACATACTATCTTACTCTGCATTGAAAAGAATCTGAGCTGTCTTCATTATGTATGTTAGGACTGGCAATGACATTTGGGAGATGAGAAACCTTAGTTATCTTGATCCTCTGAGTGGGTTTTGTTTGCTCTGTGATATGTAATGAAAGTGTTATATTGGTGAAATGAGTATGAATGAAAGAAATTAAAGTTTTCTTAAATGCTGTCTAAAATAACATCAGTAACATTTTTCTGAGGAGTTTTAATTATTAAATTGAAAGCCGCTCATAAGGTGTTTATTCTTGGATAGTAAAACTTATTAAAGCATGAATGCTGCTGTTTGATTTGATGGATATTAAGATCACACAAATTCAGTATTTTGAAGTTTTGAAAGAAACTTGATTTCTGAACATGCTCAAGAGACTGCTTTTTTGATTCCGCCAGAGAAATATTATAGTCAAAACCATTAAAGTGAATTTTGTTTACAAATAGGTAAATTATACATCTGTATATTTAAAGTGCTGTGAGGGAATATCTTTAAAAAAGTTTGGCCTAGTTTTCACAGATTTATCTTGTATGAACTTATTAAAGATGTTCATGTGTAATACTTGATGAAAAGATTTTTGTTTCTTTGTTTTAATGGGTTAGAAAAATGTGTTTACAATCTTGGTCTCATACGATCACCAATGAAATAATAACTGTCAGGTTTACAACAGTATGAGCTGACTTAAACTGAGTTGTTTTGGGATAGGGAAGAAGCAGGTCCCACTAGAGTATACACTACTATTTATTAGCCGAACAAGAATAATTCACTGTTTTATAAAGATATCTCCCTTAAGCAGTGTTATGATTTCCTTTCAGTATGCAAGTTGTACATTGAACTGGAAATATTCTTGAAACCTGCTTCATTTATTAGGAAGCAGTTTTCAAAGTGTAGCAAATTAAAATTTATATTTCCCCTCTTTTAAAGAAACTGAGTCATTATTATGCACTGATGTTTCTTAACTAAAATTCTCTTCTTAATGTGAATTTTAAATGTTGATATTTGTAGGTCCTTTCTTAATTGTAGTAAAGACTTCCAGAGGGAAAAGTTTGTGCTTCTAGGGACAATAATCTTCCTTGTGCCTCACTTCATCCCTGTGTGGGTATGGCTCTTCTTATTACTACATGCTTTGTTAGTATATTTCACAAATTTACTTTTGAAAATTTACTTTAAAAAATTATTTTAGATATTGTGTCACATGTGCAATCTAGAATAATTTTGTAATAGCCAGGTCATAAAAAACATAACTGCAGTTAGGATTCACAATATTTGTTCTCTGGACAATGAGGGAACAAACGAACCTTTTGGAGATACTGATATTAAGCAATTATTTTTTGCAATATGGAAGTATTTTTTAGTTTGATTTTTTTTTTTTTTTTTTGCTCAGTAGGGCACTTATCTCATCTTGTATTACTTTTTTATGTAAAGCAACTAATTTACACTATGCCATTTTTTTTTTATTGTAGTTGTAAATTATGAAAGATCCTTGAATTTTCTACAGATCTACAACTACTAAAGTAACAGACAAGGGCAATCTTGGTATTTAAATCAGAGTATGGCAGTTCTACCATAAAAAGTACTCTATTTTTCTAATTTCTAGGATTTTTAAAATAACATTTCTGTAAGTCTGACATATTAATATTCACTCAAGCTGTACCATTTATTTTAGTTTGCATTGTTTTACTTTAATGTAATGTATTGAGTCTAATAGACTTTTACAATAATTAGAATAAAAGATTTATTTCTTCTAATCAAAGATGCATAACAGCTATTATCTAGGGGACCACCAAATGTGATTTCAAGATTTTGTTAACTATTACAAATATAATCCTTATATAGAAATTTTAATTTTGTAAAGTAGTGTATAATATTGTAACATTAAATTCTTGTTCTCATATTCAAATATGTATTGATCTTCAATGTGCTGTGTTAAATCTTGCTTCTCTGAAATGTTAGAGACAAGATTTGTCTTCCTTTTTACAGTTTGTAATTTTCACAGTTTTATTCCTATAAAAAAATCATTTGTAACCCATGCAAACAATCGTTTGAACTGTGCTAATTTAATCAATTTGGCTAATTCAATAAAGTTAATTGAAAGAGTTTACATACAGTGACTAGTTATTTAAAGTGATATGAATCTTTTTTTAAGATTTTATTTATTTTTAGAGAGAGGGGAAGAAGGGGGAAACAGAGGGAGAGATACATTGATGTGAGGGAGAAACATCTATCCATTGGTTGACTCTTGTATGTGCTCTGACCAGGAATTGAACTGGCAGCCTTTCGCTTTGCAGGATGAATCTCAACCAACTGAGACACCAGTCAGGGCAAAGTGACTTCAATAATTTGCCAGTCACTGAGTAGTGCTGTGTTGTGCATCCAAGTTAGTGGAAAACTATTGCTGAAGGTGCTTTAAATCTAAGTCACTGTCTGCGAGGACGTAAACCGAATTCGGGTTTGAAATTCTAGATTGAACTTTTTTTTTTTTAATTCTAAATGTGTTTAAGGTACTACTCCACTGACTGCTAGCCCCCTTTGTTACTGATAAGCTCTATACTGTCAGTCTAATTGTTGTTTAGTTGAGGATAATGGTAGCTTTGAAGATTTTTCTTTTTTCCTTAATAATCTATAGTTTTACTACTCTGAGTTTATTTATCCTATTGATTTTCAGAGCACACTTTAATTCAATTTAATTCCTTGTCTATCTACAATTCTGGAATATTCTCAGCTACTTTATATTTTTTATTTTTTAATTACATTTGATGGATTATGCTATTATAATTGTCCTGATTTTTCCCCCTTTGCTCCCCTCCACCAACACCCCTCACTCTCTCAGGCAGTCCCCCCACCATTGTTCATGTCCATGGGTCATGCATAGAAGTTCTTTGGCTGCTCCATTTCCTACACTGTACTTTACGTCTCCGTGGCTATTCTGTAGCTACCTGCTTGTACTTCTTAATTCCCTCACCTCTTCACCCGTTCTCTCCCACCCTCCTCCCATCTGGCAACCATCCATGTTCTCTGTGCCCATGATTCTGCCCGTGTTCTTGTTTCTTAGTTTGTTTTTTAGATTCAATTGTTGAAAGACATGTATTTTTTGCCATTTTATTGTTCATAGTTTGATCTTTTTTTTTTTTAAATAAGTCCCTTTAACATTTCATATAATAATGGTTTGGTGATGATGAACTCCTTTAGTTTTTCCTTGTCTGGGAAGCTCTTTATATGCCCATTCTAAATGATAGCTTTTCTGGGTAGAGCAGTCTTGGCTCTAGGTCCCTGCTTTTCATGCCTATGAGTATTTCTTGCCAATCTCTTCTAGCCTGCAAAGTTTCTTTTGAGAAATCAGTAGACAGTCTTATGGAAACTCCCCTGTAGATAACGTCTTTTCTCTTGCTCCTTTTAAGATTCTCTCTTTATCTTTAACCTTTGGCATTTTAATTATGATGTGTCATAGAGTGGGTCTCTTTGCATCCATCTTGTTTGGGACTGTGTGCTTCCTGGACTTGCATGTCTATTTCCTTCAACAAATTAGGGAAATTTTCTTTCACTATTTTTCCAATTTCTGGCTCTTTCTTTTCTCCTTCTGGCACCCCTATGATGCAAATGTTGGACCTCTTGAAGTTGTCCCAGGGGCTACTTATGCTATCTTCATTTTTTTGTATTCTTTTTTCTTTTTGTTCCGACTGGTTGTTTTTTGCTTCCTTACGTACCATATCATTGACTTGATTCTGGGCTTCATCCACTCTACTATTGTTTCCCTGTAAATTGTTCTTTATTTCAATTAGTGTATCCTTCGTTTCTGACTGGATCTTTTTTATGCTGTTGGGATCCTCACTAAGTTCCTTGAGCATCCTTATTAACAGTGTTTTGAACTCTGCATCTGATATATTGCTTATCTGCATTTCATTTAGTTCCTTTTCTGGAGTTTTGATCTGTTCTTTCATTTAGGCCATGTTTCTTTGTCTTCTCATTTTGGCAGCCTCCCTGTGATTGTTTCTATGTATTAGGTAGAGCTGCTGTGACTCCATGTCTTAGTAGTGTGACTTAATGTAGTAGGTGCCCTGTAGGGTCAGTGGCACAGCCTCCCCTATCACCCAAGCTGGGTACTCAAGGTGCTCCTTCTGTGTGGGCTGAGTACACCCTCTTCTTGTAGTTCAGCCTTGGTTGCTATTAGCAGATCACTGGGTGTGATTTACCTAGGCTAGTCAGCTGCAAGGACTGGCTGTGACCACTAACTACCAACCTCTGCCCTCTGGGGAGGATCAGCTGTGCAGGTGCAGGGTGGTGCTGCTCCAACGTGGTCTGTAGTTGTCCACTGAGTATGTTATCCCTGAGGTTTCCTGGGTGGTGCAGGCCAAGGTTATCCCTTACTTGTGTTTTGCCCATGGCACCCTGCCTGAGCTATAAAGCAATCTGAAATGGCTACTACTTGTGCTGGACTTGGAGATTCCTGGGTGAAGCCAAGCTGTGAATCTAGGCTGGCTGCTGCTAGTGCTGGACCTAGGGCTCCCTGAAGGCAGTTTTTGCTTGTTTGATAGGATCTGGTAAGTTGTGAAGCGTGAGCCAAGACCAGCCATTCATATGGAAAAGCAGCTTGGGTGGGCTCATAAGTTGGGTGGGTCAGAGTCTCTGGGGGATCTCCAAAGTGGGTTAAACAGTGTTAGCCAGGTTGATGGAGTTTCAGATATAGCACCAGCTTGCTGTCTCTGTGGGTGGAGGGTTTAGCAAAGGGACAATGGCCTCTGCTCTCCTTGATGCCAGACACTTCAGTTTCTTTCTGTATACCACTGGTGCCTTTTAAGTTTCCTTCTATATACCACTGGTGCTACCCCAGTGCTGGAGCTCAGATGGGGTGAGTCTAATTAGGTGAATCTGTGGGCGGGTTCTTTAAGAGGAACTGCTTGGAGCTCCAGCAGTTTCCTCCATCAACTCAATCCCCACTGATTTTTGCAGCCAGAAGTTGTGGGGACTTATCTTCCTGGTGCTGGAACCCTGGGCAGGGGGTCCTGGTGTTGGGCTGGGACTCTTCACTCCTGAGACATCCCTCCCAAGCTTTTATCCACCACACATGGGTATGGGACAAGCCTGTTCTGCATCTGCGCCCCTCCTGCCAGTCTCGATGGATGTGGTTTCTTTAATTACATAGTTGTCAGACTTCCATTCAACCCAATTCCTTACAATTCTGAGTGATGGTGG